TTCAATGGCACTCATTACAGGAAATTGGTAGGGGAATATGTTGAAGTGGATGGTAAAAGGTTTTCACATCGTTACTTTTGTGATCACCATGACATTGCACTTGCTCTCTGCACTGATAGCTATCTGTTGTACAAGAGTAATCAAGGTGGACTGATGGCAACACCAGTTATACTGCAAAACTATAATATTCCACTGACTCAACACACTTGTCACAAACATCTAATCTGTGTTGGGATCATTCCTGGTCCAAGGCAGCCAAAGGAGCTTTCATCTTTCCTCTCACCTCTTGATGACAAGCTGGCCAAACTCATGCACAGAGTTCTGACATTTGATGCTGACAAGAGGGTCTTGTTCAACCTACATGTGTACATCATCTTCAAACTGGGAGACATCCTCACAATCCAGAAATTCCTGGAGATCAAAGGCCATAATTCAATCTTTCCATCCCAATCATGCAAGATAAAAGCAGTGTGCAGTTTAGGGAAGACTCACTATGCTGCACTGCAACCCCCAAGGAACACCCTAAACCCCTTATCTGGGATCCAGAACATCTCCCAATATGCACCCACCTCAATTTTATCTCTACTTTCAAGAACATCAGTGAGGCACCATCAAAGGCTGCAAAGGGAAGGATTGCAAAGAAGACAGGTACTTGTGGTTTACCTGGACTGCAGAGAGTTGGTTCACTGGATTATGCACACTCAGTGCCCTGGGAATGGTTTCACCTCCTTTTGGACAACATCATCCCAAACCTTGTTAATCTATGGACTGGACAGTTCAAAGGTCTTGAATCCAGCACTGATGAATTTATGATCACAGAGAAGGTGTGGGAAGAGATCACACAAGAAATGATGGCTGCTGTGCAACATATACCTGCAGCATTCATATGACTTCTAGAGAACATTGCCACAAATCACTCACAATTCACAGCTGATTCATGGTGCTTCTGGTTCTTGTACATCACACTGATCTTACTTGAAAACCAGTTTCTGAAGCAGAAGTACTATGTGCATGCATGTGAACTCAGTGTGTTGATGAAGTTCATGTTACAGTTTCACTTGATGGAGGAAGAAGTGGATGACATCAAAGTGTAGTTACAAAAATGGGTACAAAAATATGAGAAGTTAGTGTTTTGTTTTTTCCCTCCAATCCCAGGTGTTTCAGCAATACTCATCAAAGCTCCTTTTTGTTTGCCAGGTATTATTATCAGTACTGCATTGAACATCTGCCAGCATGCACACTCACTGTCCATGGTTTACTTCATGTCACTGAGGGAATCCATTACTGTGGTCCAGCTTGGACAACATAGAGTTTCTTCATGGAGAGGTACTGTGGGACATTGCAGCAATCAATGTGATCCCAATGCCAGCCATGGAGCAACCTGAACAACACTCTGCTGCACTCCATCATACTCAAGCAGCTGTTGGTGTGCTATGACATTTCAGCCAAACTTGCTTTGTGGGATGACCATGCAGATGATGGACCAACTGCATTCAAATGTGTGTTTGAGGGATGTAAGTGCCTGTCATTTCTGGTTTCATGACACACAACTGAGTACCATCAATGTCAGACTCTAACCATATCATTTGCCCTCCATTCAAGAGGGTCACTCAGCAGGATCCTTCACTTCAGCAAAAGATTGCTCAATATGTGGCTCAGGTATTAGGAAAGCAAGAGAGCAAGGTGAAAATCCATTTGCCACTCCCAACCCTATTTTCTGGAAAGCTTTGGATATGTGGAGGTGGTGATTTCTTCCAGACAGCAGCTGTCTCACATTGACCAGCAGCTCCAGTGAGGAGGAACTGCTATGTCAAGGTGCATTCAATATCACTAATTCTACACAGTCAGTTTAATGACATCATATGTGACCAGTATGAAGTAATTCTCAAGGCACATAATCATCATTTGGTTCAAGTTATCAGGTATGGTAATCTGGAGAAGATATTCATGCTCACCCTGCCACCAAACAAATTTTTTGCCTCCCTGAGTGGCAAGACACTCATCCTTTCTCTTATCACACTATGGAATACCAAAGGAAAGGACACCACAAGCGAGAATACTTACTTGTTGTCCTGCTGTGCAACAATTGTCACTGATGTGTGAAGCTTAAAGGCTGTGGTGGGCCTGGTCCCTGTAGGTAAACAGTGGGGTATCATTGATTGAATGTCAGCAGCATCCACATGAGGTTTTGCAGATATGGGGACATGGGAGGGCACCCTGCCAGGAGAACGAGAGTGAGATGGAAGATGTAGACAAGCTTTTTTACACTTGATGCTGTTTTTCAATGCTATGGCACTGATTTTCCTGACTGATGTTGAAAATCACATATGCAATTTACACTGACACTTAAAATCAATGACAGACCAATGACACTGAAAAGATGCATCCATGACTTCAGTGTCACAGACACTGATTTTTAGTGATTTTACTTTTTACAGTGTCATAGACATGATGGAGCATGAATACAACAATGTTTAGCCAGCTCTCAGAGGAACCAACGAAGCACGAGGGGAAAACGGATAGTGCAGGACATGGCCATGAATCCCAGGCAGAAAGATGGGAAGTGTCTTGTGAGCACTGAACCGATCTATCAATCCGCCCAACTATTATGCATTAATATCCGACAGAAGATCGGGCAGCGCATGACGCCGGAAGACACGTTTAGATCGTTCTCATCCCACACGTCTTATTCAACACCGCAAGTGGCTCTACTGCTAGTATAGATTGGTTCACTTCTTCAAGTCAAACCAAACTTGAAAGCACTGACGGACAACATTCATGTTTGGGGTTGTGAGTGACGCTGGCTGGTTTACTTGTCAACTCTATCCTGGCTCGTACCAGAAAGAAGCAAGGTGCGCTCGGTCGTTGACATTTTATATGTCGAGTCTGTTGAGGCTACCTCAGATGACGCAGCGACCGTAACGACATCGTGTCCGAAATCACGTGATCGGTAAGGTCCCCTTTGTCCATCCTACTATGGATAAGTACGATAAGTACGATGATATGCAATGCGAACTCTTGAAGGTGTAAGTCAGCCAGTCAGGGTACCGGTGAGCCGTCTCAATCGCAGGTGCACGTATGCTGTCTCATTTTCATTTGGCACTGACCCACTGTGGCTTGCTTTCAATGTAGGTGAACCAAATTTTTTCTTCATGATTGTGGTGCGCAGGTATGTAGTATTGGCAAGCAGTTACAACTCCAAGTTTTGGTAAGCGATATTGAGCGCGCGTCCGCTTGAGGCATAGGTGCCATTGATTCATTCGAGTCCGCTCCGGATACTGGTGAGCTACCCCGATCTCAAGAGATCTATACGAGAGCCAGTGAGCAATTGGCCTGCAGGTCACCTCGTGCACAGGGGGTCCACCCGAGATGTTGGAGAGTTGTTTCGTGCACCAGCGATCTGCTCGATGTGCAGGTGAGTTTTTTGATGAGCTGCTCGGGCACGGGTGGACGTTTAGAGGCACAAGTGAGTCATTTGGGGTGCGGGTGAGCTACCTCGAGAGTGCTGCTCGAGCCACAGTCAGAGGTGCGAACGAGTGCTTGGAATTATAGTTGAAAGTACTAGCGATCTGTTTGAAGGGCAAGCAAGCAAGGTACATACTACTCGAGACCTATTTTTCTCAAACCCACAATCGGACCATTCCCTAAAGCGCCCTTAGCAACTTCGTGCATTGGTTTCAGACGCAGTGTACACACAGGCAGACATCGAAAGGGAGGGATACGCCTCGTTACAACAAGTACACATCGTCCCTCCACTCACCGAGCGAGAAGCACACCTGTACTTGATGCAGAGCTGTGGCGAGAATGCAGGGAGACTCGTACGGATGCATTTTGGGTGAACTCGCCATTAGACTCAGACATGATGGTTAGCTCACCAGCTGGTCTACCCCTATTGTTGACATCCCGCCGCTACAACAACTCGCACCAGAACTACGTACCACCAAGCGTTTAAACGACATGCTCCAAATCGCCTACCTTTTACTTCAGGAGGATACATTCGAAACGTACGAGATCTATTGCGTTGAAGTCACTGACGACACAGTGCCCGAGACCAACAGATTCCGGGGGTTGCTTGATGACGCCAGCCAGCCAGGTGTCTTCGGAGTGATCTATTGAGATGATCCTCGACAAAGACCCAGGTTCTAATTCGGTTTTTTTGGGGAGGGTACAGTTGCAGATGTTTCAGCAGTCGATCAAGTTGCATGCAAAGATCGTTTCGTTTCTTCGGCTTGGAGTTGGAAAATCTCCACGTGAGAGATTTTTCTAACCTGTGTTGTTTGAGTCAAAAATATGCTGACGAACATTGCGATGAAGGTAATGATAACATTCGCGTGGCCCGCAGAGGTGGACCATTCCGACCCGACACGATCACGCGCTATGCCTTTACCAGTTCTTTACGCATCTGGCATTCGTTTGAAGTGATAAGCTCAACGTTGCGCCCGATTCGAATCATTGTGCTTCCCTTATTCAAGTGCTTAACTCATTCTGAGAGCAAGTACTATGCAAACTCAGCACACAGGTACAGATGAGCGAAAACTACATGACCGACTACATATTCATCACTTGGTGTTCTTCTGCCTTAAATCAAATGCCAACGTTGTCATCGGTTTGATAGGTTGAACAGGACCCCAGTCGAACGACGGTGCTCCTGCCGTCGCACCCGCTGGCGACGAACCAGGAATCTTTTTCAGTGCGATAGGCTTTTGATGGTGCTTCGTACCTCCGCGATTTCTCGACGGCAAAATATTCTGTGAAGGCGACTCTCCGATGCCCGGATGTGGAGCTGGAGACCAGGTCGGGAACGTAGACGGGAGCGTCATCATTGGCGTTGCAGGTAACGAGAACAGACCACCGGCGGGAGCTGGCGTCTCTGGTTCGGGTTTGGCTGCGCCAGGTCTTTGAGGAGTCTGGAACGACGTGAACTTTGATGTCGTTACCTTTGCTCTGGAATTGAGGAGCGGTGAGTCTCTGCTGGCCAATAACGCGCGCTTCAGTTTTTGAGCAGCACGTTCTGCATTCAATGCGGCTGCAGTGGACGCTGCCACGTTGGGCGTCACGTTCCACGGTCGTTTCGACTGTGACGCAGCTAGGCTTTTCTCACGCGATGAGGATGGTACGCCATTCGAAGCCGAGTTAATGTTGAGTTTGTTAACTCGCCGGCGTAACTCGTCGACCTCGCCTTCCTGTTGGCCGATTGCGAGATCGATGTTGCGTAGCGTGCGGTTAATGGTATCGATTGAAGGTGGCCTGTCACGGGAGAGTTGTTAGGAACTAAAGTGCCGAAGTTTATTTCATATATTACACGTACTTGAATCTAGGCTTCCCCGTCTTAAATTCCTGCAGTCTCCTCTTCGAGGCTTGCAAATGATCCTCCAATTTTTGCACCCGATCCCTTACCGCCTGCGAGAAATAAATCAAGTACTCGTGTCAACCGTCCGTGAACAGCAGTACAAAACCTACCCTTATATCCCTCCTCAGCTGTGTCTGAATCTCGAGATACTCAGGTCCCAACGTCCGCACTTTCAGCATCTTGGCAAACTCGACGTCCGTTCTGGCCTTATCAAACCGTACGATCTCCTCTTGCTTAGTCATTGCTGTATGAATTCCATTTTCATCAGTACAGCATTCCTAAACATTAAGGTTACGCACCTTTAAGCATGCATGCATCCAGCTCCTGCAACATCTTTCGTAGCACGACACGCTGCTCTTTTAGCGCCTTAATATCCTCCTGAACGGTTAGCAAAACACGCCCATGCTCTTTCATATCGCCAAACACCCATCGATGGGAGTTGATTAGGTCAGATCGGGAATGTACTATGCCAGAAGATTTCTTTAAATCGGCGGCTCGGTAGGATGCTGTTGCCGCAAGCGCTTGGAGCTACAAAACGTCCATTGAGTACCATAACACACGGAGCAACCCAAGAGGGGAAACGTACATTCTCGAGTTCCTTAGTCAACGCAGAAAGGAGATTCAAACACTCCGCCTGCATACCCTGCTCCGGTGTCGGGATTGGCGGCGTTGGTACGGGAGTAACAGGTGGAGGGAACATGGACACTGAGTGCGAAAAACCTGCCCCAGTTGCGGGAGGTATCCCAGTTGACAGAGGTGTAATCCCGACAGACTGCAGAGGTGGCGTACTGAGAGGACTCGGAGGTAACGTAAACGATGGTGTAGGTTTCGGCAGAGGTGGTGCCAGCTTGGCTGGCGTTGCAAACAAAGTTGACGAGGGAGGACTTGGGGCGAAGGGGGACGATGTCGTCGGGAAACTGAATGGAGCGAGAGATGGTGGCCCAGGTGTCGTAGGAGCAGGCGCAGGTAACGGAGTCACACCGAATGCAGGTTTAGGCCCACCAACCATGGGGAAAAGAGGGGGCATCTTAGATTCCGTCTCTTCTTCTTTGACAGACGTACTCCATTGGTCTACAGGTGCTTTGGGAACCAAGGGTGCAACTGTTGCTGGCGGTGCGGATTTGGGTGGTAGAGGTGGGGTTGGCGATGCAAATGATTCAAATTCTCCAACCAGAGGTGTACTCGCGAGAGGAGAACTACGTATTGGACGAGTGTTGGCCCCAATTCGCGGGGGTAGATTGAATGGTGAGCCAGCTGGAAGAGACGGTTTCGACACAGGCGCCGGGAAAGCGATACGTTCCGCCTCCTTGACAGGCGAACCAGGCGGAGTTGTCGGGCCAAGTTCTCGAGCGGGCGAAACGGAGGTAATTGGCGGCGGCGGAGGCGACGGCGAAGCAGACACTGGTAGCTTGGGAAGCTCTGCTTTTGGTGTCGTTGAACGGGATCTCGCAGATAGGGTTGGAGTCGAAGGTAGCGGAACATCTGCTGGATTAATTTCCTCGTGATCATCGTGGTCTTCCTGGTCCTCCTCCCCTTCAGATCTCTTCTCAGATTCTTCCTCTTCCTCTTCTGTCTCCAGCTCTGATTCTTCTTCCTCAGACTCAGAAGGTACGTCGGATGAGAGCGATCGTGACTCGTCCTCTCCTTCGCCTTCCGCCTCCACGGTTTCTTCAGTAACCTCACCCTCACCTTCGTCTTCCCGCCCTTCTCCCTCAAAGGACACTTCGACGAAAGAAGAAGCAGTTGACGAGGATATGGTCTCGAACGACGGCTCTAGCGTTATAGATGGCTTCCCTTGCTCAACCTTATCTTTACCCTTACTCTCAACTACCCCCGTCGAAATTTCAGGAAGGGCTTTCGATACCTCCGGCGTACTCGGAGGTTCTTTAGCCGGCTTCGAGACAGGTGTGGGAATAGATGGTGTCGACGGGGCGGAGGCCCCTTCTTTTGCAGGTGTCGAAACACGAGTAGAAACAGGTGTTGTCGATGTAAGGGAGACCTCTTCCCCGGCGTCCTTTGTCGGAGTCGTACTAAACACAGATCGCTCCTTCACGGGTTCCTGGCCACCACTCTTCAGAAGATCGCTAAACGATTTTGTGCCTGACCCCGCGAAGGCGCCAAATCCCCCACTACTGGCAAACGCGCTGAATGCGCCCGTGGCTGGGGCCGGCGCCAGTGGCGTTGTCGTTGTCGCTGTCGCAGTTGTCGTGGTGGGGGAAGAAAACGCTGCAGCCCCAAAAACACTCTTTGGAGTCGTACCAGGCATCGAGGATGCACCAAACGTCGGAGCAGTCGCACTCGGCTTTGTCGGCGTCGTCAAGGCAGCTGGGGTACCGCTCAAAGCAAAAGCACTAACAGGCTTGGATTCCGTTTGTTTGGGCGAGAAGAACGGCGAGTCTTTGGGCACATCGCCGAAGAACCCTGTCGCTGGTTTTAGGGCAGAGGTGGGGGTGGTGGTGGTGGCTTTCTGGGAATCACCAAAACCGAACGATGCATCGGGAGTCACAGCCCTCGGTGTCGTCGGTGGTGGTGACGATGGCAGACCACCAACAGGAGATGGAGACCTACTCTCAGGCTGTTGCATCACGCTCTCTCGCAAAGCGAAAGGTGATGATGACGGTGTAGCAGCAGGTTTCGTCTGTTCTCTAGCAACACGTGCCGGTTCCGCCTTGGCCAATGCCGGTTCAAGTGCCTTAGCAGCTGGGCTTGTCGCGGACGAACCAAATACCGGCCTCGGTCGCTCCGGTAGGGTCTTCTGTTCTTCCGGAACTACCCACGCAGGTCTTGCATCCTTGTTAGCGAACGCAGCTAACCCGGTCGTGCCACCCGTTGCAAATGCACCAAACGCACCCCCGCCCGTCGAGATAGCTGGAGCTCCTATGGGAGGGCTACTAGTAGTAGAAGGCGACGCGAACGACGGCTTCCCCAGCATCGATCCACCCGAGACCACGGCTTGACTCTGTCCAAAGCTGGTCTGACCGAATGCCGGTTGTCCAAATGTGGGCTGTCCAAATCCAGACTGCCCGAACGCAGGCGCATGTCCAAATCCAGTCTGGCCAAAAGCGGGTTTGGGTGTCGCGAGGGGGCTAGTAGTGGTTTGGCTGAAAGCGGATTGTCCAAAGCCGGACCCTGATGACAAAGGTTGAGTACCGAATACAAGAAGTCAAGTCACAAGCAAACAGCGTACCTGATGCGAACGAGGATGACTTGGCGAAAGGACTGTTCTGGTCGAAAGCTGCACCAAAACAGACTCCTGATTTGATTAAACCCTCACCACTATTACCACTGGACGTTTGTTGAAAAGATGTCGTTGCCGTCGCCGTATTCCCGAATATGGAAGGTTTGGAATCAGCATCTCGCGGACCCGACAAACCGCCCAATCCTAGACCGTCCAGAGAGGGACCATCCTCGGCCATACCATCTTCCTGTGTGGTCTCTGGGAGCTGACCGGACGCTGGTGGGGCAGCGGCCGTGCTAAGAGGTTGGGGGGATGTGCCGAATCCAAATCCAAACCCGGTTTGTCCGAATTTGGTTGGAGCGGCTGAACTGAAAGCACTGAACCCAGTCGAGGCGGCTGCGGCGGGAGCGAAAGTTGGTGGGGATGCTTGCGAGAATGCGGATAGCGCAGAAGTAGTGGGTTGACCGAACGATGACTGACCAAATGTGGGCGTTTGTGCGAACGGTGAGGTTGACGGCACGCTAAATGGAGAAGTTTGAGAAGCAAATCCACTTGGCGGCGGAGGTGCAGGAAGGGCGGGTTGAGGCGGGGTAGGTGTTGGTTGTCCGAAAGGCGCCGTCTCACTTACAGGCCCGGATGGAGAGACTGAAGGTGTGGTTTGCATATCGGTCGATGATGTTCGTGCTATACTGGTTGCGACAGGCGGTGGTTCCAGAGACATCGTGGTTTCCTTTGCTGCCGTTTCCTTGACCATTCCGTGGTAAATGGTACCGCTAGTATTAAGAAGATACCACCCTAGAACCGTCCCATCCGAAGCGTAAGCATACATGATGGGAGGTGGGGGTAAATCCAGGGGTTCGCCCGATGCAGTCATATGCCGATACGATTCAGTATTCGTTAAATCCAAATCTTGTCCTATGAGGATAGTGTCATTCTGATCCTTGTCTAACGGCAGGTTTGGCGTGGAAGTTTCCTCCAAGGAAAGATTGTGCCAGTGTTCGTTAGGACCATCACTTACAGCACCAATGGCGCCAATATCAGACGATGTGCTGTCCCCAAGGAAAAGTATCGCCTTGTATGGGTCCCAATTCTTCAATATGACTGCGAATGAGCCGGGAGGGCGTAAGGCGGGAAATGGGAAATAAGGAGTGTTGAACTTGAGGTCCTGTGCAGAGTGTACTTTTGAATCCAATGACACATGAAAATGCAACTGATCTGCATCAAGAGCTAGTTTGCCGGCTGGTGCATATATCGCATGAAATGAACACGTCGACAACCAATGAATGGAGATGACGCTCATTCCACTCGCAGATGGTGGGTGAGGTATGCTGCATTTGGGAGTGGCTGTATTGGTTGGGTTATACGTGACGATGTCGCCGCCTTGCATGGCGAGGGCGAGTTGTTTACCCTTTGGTGACCACGAGACTGGAAGAAGTGGTAAGGACGATGCAATGCGTAGGTGTTAGTCGCTACGTACTTGCAGTGGGGACCGTGCTGGGAGAATTCCCTGCTATCCAACCCCCTGCAGAAACTAACTTCTGGACGTCCTAATAATTCGACAGCCAATGAGCCTGGACTATTACTACAGTCTCTCAAGACGGCGACTAGTTCTGGTAAGCCGTCTGGATTCGGATGTATGGATAAAAGGGTCACAGAGGATGGCGCAGGGAAAGTGTGGACAGGAGCCAGCTGTCCATCGCCGCTGGAAAAGAGATGGTCCGTTTCGTACACTGCTATTGAGTTATCAGATTGACCGACGAGAAGTTTGCTTTCGTTGAATGCAAAAGTGACTATGATTGGCATAAGCCCGTACAGTGGGATTCTTCTTTGTGGTTGGAACGGTTTCTCATCCTCAGCAGTATCGGACGCGAATGCAGAATGCAAAGAAGACAGGGGAGATAGTATCAACGCTACAGGGGAGAAAGACGACGGTGAGCATTCCGAATGTCCCAGACCGAATCTCGTTAAAGGAATTTCCAGACCTGATTGACCGCTTGCATCACGAGTAGCCGCGACGAACCAACCCCTCGCATTCGCCACCGCAAAGAGAGAAACCTTTCCTGGTGCTGCAGATAGATCGATTGGATCTGGGGAGAGCCTGACTCGAGTGCGCTTGTTGAGAAGGCGTAGAGCAAGAGACTAGACATATGCGCAGTTATGGATTGTGTCAGTGGCCCAGGGCTTGTGTAGTGTCAGGCCACACTACCTGTGCATCCTTCTCTTCCGGTTGGCTTGACGTGGACTGAACTCGTGGGACGACAGACGCTTGCAGGGTGCTGACGTTCTCGTTCTCCATCGGTGCTGCACACTGTGGAATGTGTGGACTCGACTCTTGGACGTGATGACCCCCGGTTTCTGGATTAGGTAAGCATTTCTCACACAGCTCACCACTTGGACCTCTTCGAGTTTAAAGAAAATGCTGGAGTTGTTCACTCTTCCCGCCTGCTGCACCACTTCCACTTCCTTCGACTACTCCAAACTGCACACCCTGCCCAATCGAAGTCTGCCTATCACCAAGCCAGAGTTTCAAGTACCTGCTGGGCACAGTGAAATTTATGCACTCACCACGAGTACCCACGACTGGTGAAATAAATCTTGAACAAGTTACATGACAAAGAGAACGTCTCACTCACCCAGTCTCCTCTGTCCATGATAGAGTGATGATCAGCCAAATCAAGCCTAGGTATCAGAGGAGTCACCATGTGGGAGTCAGCGTACTATACGCTCACCGCAACTTCTACCCATGTCTGTACTCTTCCCGTCTTTATTTGATTGATTGTGACTCGTGACCTGAAGGAAAAGTTGTCCACTGAAGCTCACCTCTTCACTCTTCTTAGGCAGAGGTGACGCCGTCGTGACAGCGTTCAGCGTTGAGCCGCAGACCATCCCATTACCCTGGCCGCGGGCTCGCAACCTGAACCTCCAAGCTCAGACGGCGATCTACGTGTAGTTTTCCCTTGACATATCCCCTCAGCCTATGCGCCTTCGTCATTTCCGTGCTCCAGCCTTCTCAGGGATCTTGTCACATACCACCGGGGAACTTCAGGGCCTCGTGGGGGCACTCATACTCAGCTTGAGCGCCGAAGCGAGGAAACGCCTTGTCACTGCTGTCGAACTTTATGCGTTTCCGTTATTTGCTTCATCGACCAACCATGCTTTCAATCAGACGCTTAATACAGACACCAATATGTTCAAGAGTTTAAACTTTATCAGATGGAACACGAAAACAATCCGGGAATTATCAAGTTCATAAATGTATCAGTGGCGCACTTATGTGCGTACTATTCGCTTCATTGAGTCGAATTCCTTTCCTGTAGGAATTGGTGAGGTTTGCATATTCTCCACTGGCCACCATGGTGGGGCCTGCGAAGTATATAACCCCCCCCCCCAAATTGCCCCACTTCTGTGCAGTGCAATTTCCCCTCAGTTGACGCTACCGCTACATGCGCTGACTGCTCATCCTCCATTGGCAACTACGTGCATAGCAACAAGTGTGCCACAGCCGACAATACTGAATATGTGCCGCATACATACTATTTGTCAGCCCACTTTATTCAACCGTCGTACCCCCGACTGATCACTGGGCTGGACAGCTGCAAGGAAATTACGTGTGATGGACCGATAAACAACCTGTGGAGCAGAAAGGGGGGGTAACTAATTGTCCTGCCTGCTCGTCTACTCCAGGTGTATGGAGGACACAACGACTGCTCTCTCGGTCGAATTGGTGTACCGTCTGTGATTGTGTTCATGTAGTACTGACGTTCTCCATGGACGTTGTATACGCTACGGCTGTGTCACGTGGGCGTGATCACGATCAATGTTGCTCCTACCAGTCATCGTCGCAAGCATCACCGTCTTCCACTTGTTGGTATGACCATGTCATGTAACATTCATGGCATCGTTAACGGTCTTAATGGGCCTGCATACTCCTACGCTCGCTGCCGTGCATCGCCGCTTTGTCGAACTTCAATTCCCCGGCAACACAATACTCACTGCATCGAGTTCACTCACTATGTGTGGACTTGACTCCTCGACGTCTGACCCCAGTTTCTAGGTAAACGTTTCTCATACATGCTCGGTTCATGAACGTCGTCTTGATACCAGGTGAGGGAAGAAAGCAGACCATTATGTAATGCCGAGTCTTACACAACTTGGCCGATGTTGCATGAAACAACCCTTCAGTCGGAAGGTGAGACATGACGACATGCGGTGATGTGGACCCGGTTTTCGTCAACGGTGCAAGCAGGTTTCTCTGCTACTACATCTCAACACAACAAGGGAATATATAAAATCCGCCGGGTAACCACAACATACACATCAGGTGACCGCAGAAGGGCGCAAATGCCGCATGCACCTACATTGAACATATTTGCTGGGGTCCATTCCTGCCATATAAATGGCTTTTTTTACGCCCACAGCGTCGATGGAGAACCGAATAGAAGTGCGTCTCCACCGGGTACTTAAACTTCTCTACCCCTCGCACCCAGCCGTTCTCCTCGTCCACTGACCCATGCAGTTTTTGCGGACCTTCCTTACCTACCTCTGGTGGGATTCCCACTCATATTATGGCTATCCTCCCTCGCGACTTCAAACGGCGGGGAGGCTGACCGATGATGTCACATGCGCTACCTGTCCACCTGTCATTGGCACCTATCTGTATGAGAGCAAATGCTTCTTGGAGAGTGCCATGGGGAACCTGCCAGAGAACCTTACGATCTGTTGGTATGTTGATTTCATTCGTTGTTGCCCACCATGATATCATGATTAATCAAACGGTCTGGCTGGTCAGGTACACAAACCTGTACCCTTCCTCGGTGAAAGAAATAGAAATACCCCTGGATACCCCCTACTGTGCCTACGATGTACGTTTATTTGTGGCCCCTTCTTTTGTCCTAAGGTGGTTATGAATGAGTCACAGGCTACAGGAGATTTCTACGCTAACCTCACAATCGAGAATTGTCCCAACAGAGCTTATATGGACAGCGACACTTGTACCCTGTGCTCGTTCGATTGAGTGGATATGACAGATGACCTGTAAGACATGTTTTGAGATAAGAAGCTGAGATGTATGTATTACGAATGATTTCATGCGGTACAGCTGGTCACAAGAGCAGGTCATTGACCTACAAAAGTACTTGGGAAAGAGGGGAATTGAGGAAGACCATACCCGGATGAGGGGTCTACCCTCACCTTCGGTGTTGCATCTAGTCCAGCAGATGGCCAAGGCTAGCCAAGTGGTGAAGATTGATGAAAGAGGCGCACGTGTAGGTTCACACGGTCTAGTGTAGTGGGCAGAACTAATTTGGGTATATTTTGCCAATAGTACCGGCAAAACCCAGGGTTCTGCCAGTTGTGCCAACATGGCAAAACCTGTGGTTCACCGGAACGTACACTGTGTACTATGGACAATCTAAGCCATTCGATAACATCAGCAATGATACATCCCATCCTTTGTCATCCCGCCGGTCGTGGTCGACCACCTCAATGACTTCATCAATGCCTCGGAGAGGCATCAGGACAACCATCAGCAATGTGTTTTGGGAGGTTGTTGTCTCGTCCTTGGATAGGAGCACCTTTTGAGCTGTGGCTGTCACCACTGATGTTGCATTTCCAGTAATACTGATTGGATTTATTGCAACTTTCTCAATGCGGGTGAAATTTGCAGTAACAAAATCAGGGACAGGTCACCCACCAGCGCTGGATGACATGATGGGCTGGGGATGCACTGATGTCTGCCTTCCCATAGCTCGATGTTCGGACAACCTGACTGTCTACTAAGCTACATTTGGTATGAGGTTCTGCCGGGTTCTGCCATACATAACCCCAGAGGTTCTGCAATCTGCCTGGCAGTGCCAGTTTTGCCCTGCCACCTGGCAAATTGGCAGGCCTCTGCCAACAACACTATTCATACCTGCATTCACACGTATCGTAAGCAACCCAGGATAAAAAACAAAGAAACGGGCACAAACAACCATACTTGACTTATGAATTAGTATGTCCTATCAATGCGCATTTTATGTCGTTGCTATGGGACGAAAACAGAATTAATCCACTGGAGTTTCTTGAGTTCCCGGCGTTCAGCGCTCGCATCGCACGTGCGCAGACCAACGCCAAGGATCCGGGTACGTTCAGTTCAGTATCTAATGCGACTGATATCGACCGGCGAAATGATGCAGCAGGGGAAAGTTACATCCATGGCACGAACACCAAGATCTAAACATGGCTGGAGGCTGGAGCAGATCGCAGGGACCGCGAGCACACCGTCGAAAGTTATGGGTCGTACATCAGCAGCTGTGCGCTCCAATCCAGTCGGGACGATGCAGCTAGCGCTGTGCTCCTAACTTGTTAGATGACGTCCTTGACCTTGAGTCACCAGCGCCACACTACCAGATGTGATTTCCCATCTAGCCATTTTTCTTCTTCTTGATTACTCTGAACACGAGAATGTCCGTGAGTATAAACAAATTGGTCGCCGTATTCCGAGTCCAAAACCAATGTAACTCACATATCTCGAGTTCTTTCAAGTCGAAATGTCCGATGATAATGCACAAGCCTCGACATACATCAAATCGGCTATCTTGGGGCATTCAGGTCTGTCATTACCTCAAGGTTCCAAATCCCTGAAAAAGTCGGAGGTGGGTCGGCGATCTCATACCTCATGTATCGTCCTGCGAAACCAACGATCCGCATTCTGGGCTATGGAAATATTTTGGGTGGTTTTATCGCCGTCGGCCCCATCGTACTCTCCCTCCTTCCCAACCTTACCAACCAAAGCCTCGTTAGTGCACCTCGTTCGAAGTGATTCCGAGTATAAATTTCTCACTTGCCATCATTCAGACGGACGTTATTAACCTCGTCGAGTAAGGAAGTTGGGGCCGATGACCATACGGGGATGTACCAAGAGTCCATTTTACAAGTCGGATGGTTCAAGCAGCTCGATTCAGCAAGTTCACAGCCGGTAGTAGCAAGGGGTTCTATCGTGGTAACGTGGCGTCGTATGTCCTTTTCACTCCATTCTCTTTTCTTTCGAATTCGATTCTTTGAAAGGGTTGACAACAACACTAACATTATGTGACATCGAAGCTGATGCCAGAAAAGGTATGTCAATACGCGTGCCATATTTCCCAACTCATTTTTTACGTCGAGGCAACGCGGACCTTGTTGCGAACCGGAGGGTCATCGACGCGATGAGAAAGCAGGCCGAAGAGGAATCGAACAAGGTAGCTCGGGAACTCAACGATAAGGTGGGTATTTGAACGGTTATGTCTTGGAGATTTGTACTAGTGCCTGGATTGTACTTGTGAAAGCGTGCTGACACGAAATGACGGTTGCCCTGGTCCCCTTTATTGCCGCCATCTGTTTTCCGGGTGCATAAGGGGGCAAAATAGCGCCTGCTAGCGTAGCCCTTTCGGTAAGTAAACCCTTCCTGAAGGATTCAGCTAGGTCGTCTGCAGGGAGATGGACTTCAGGGAACATCGAGCCGGAACCTTTTCATAGCAAGTGGATTGTTTTCTGGTCGAGAATCCGACCTGACGATAACGGCCGTTGAAATACCTGAGCAACAGTTCAGAGGTGCCTTACGCTCATGCGGGCTGTCGAGAACAAGTGTATGAAGAAATCCTTGTTAAGGTACCTGGAAAACATCCAGCAAGCTCCCCATGATTATTACGCTTGTCCCACACCAAATCCTACATCTGCCATGATCAGTAAAATAAGTTAGCCTTTTTTTTTTCTGTTTCGTATGATTGCGTCGCAAGCGGAAAGAATCAGTAGGTAATAGCGAACTCCGCGAGCGAACAAGCTATTGTTGATTTCCAGTTCGGCAGCTTCAGCTTGATGTCTGGATCATACCTATCTAAGTAAGTCGTACAGTTCTGATCGTCTGTCTGATATCATAAACGGTAAGTACATTCGTCCCACCCACTGCAGAAAGTACATAGTAATACCCGCGTCATTGACCTCAAATACCTTCTAGAATCCATGTTACTCGGATGGTCTCGGCAGCCATCCGAAGAAGCCCCGTGCGCGCTGGGTATATAAGCATCCTGTCCCGGACCTCCACTCCAGTCTTAGTTCTGTGCTCTCAGTCAGCCATGCAGTCAGTCTGGACTTTCCTCGCCTACCTCTGGTTGGCGCAGTACAGCTTCCCCTCTCAGTTCCAAGCACAAGGAGCAGTCGAGACATGCGCCGACTGCCCACTTTCCTTCGGCGACTTCGTGTATGACAGCAAGTGCTTTGAGCCTGGTAATGGAGGATACGGGTCACATACTCTGTGCTTGTTAGTGGACTTTATTGATTATAGCTCGTCATGGAACCCGGGCTGATCATTTGGCTGGACAGTTACAAGGAAGAAGACCAGTCACCTATTGGAGGGTATTGCACATACGATGTACGTTTGTCATTCGACGCTCTCTTTTTGTGTAGATAGCTTACCTGTCATAGCAAAATGGAGCCCTCACAGGCAGTGACGGAATCAGTGATTGTCCCTCGACAGCTGCTTCTGACAGTACCGACTGCCCTTCCTGTTCGTCCTACTCAAGTGCATGATGTGTGGCGGAGTTGTTTCGAGACTAGATACCCACGTGCACGCATGTAATCAGTGTATTTGCAAGGGATAGTGGCTACTTATAGCAGATGTGGGAGGTCGTTCAAAAACTGGTATTGTTGAAAATTACTTCTTACCGGTTGTATGACACTCTTCCTACTGGTTGTGCAATATGATGGGTAACATTATTGGGACCTAGAAAGCGAGGTCGATCATCAGGGGTTCCACAAAACATTGGAAACTGGTACGATCATGCAGTAGATCATTTTAAGAAAGAGAGGCTCGGTAAATAGGGGGCATCTGTCAGGTGCCAACTTGCAAAAAGCTTGGGCAGTGGGTACTGCGCAATTGCGTGGCCCAACATTGTCAACGGGACTGCCTCACAATTAGACTCACTTAAGCCGTGCCACGTCATTACAAGTGTTTAGACTAAGCAACCCCTTATTTTCCCGGTCTCTGGTTAGCAACCGTGCTTCTTCAACCTTCTCAACCGTTCGAACCCTTACTCATCTATCAACCATTACAAGAGATCACTAATCCAGATAGGAATAGATGACTCTTGATCTTATTCAGCAATCGCCATCCAAAACGCTCTTAAGGCGACCGAACATTTATTGTTTCGTTCCCCATCAACCTCACAATCACCATCATGACTCTCACCATCCACGGCGCCCCCTACTCCACCTGCACCCGCCTTGTTGCCTTGATCTGCAAAGAGAAGCAGATCCCCTTCAACATCCATGCCGTCGACCTCAGAAAGGGCGAACATAAGGACCCCGGCTTCGTCGCTATTCAACCTTTTGGTCAGATTCCGTATATCGTGGTACGTCGACCCCTCAGTAATCATAATAGACTTTCATTGGACGTTATCATATAGGACGATGACGGCTTCGTCCTCTACGAGTCTCGCGCCATTGCGCGTTACCTGATTAGGAAGTACCCAAACCAGGGAACTCCAGGTCTCATCCCTACGGATCGCAAGGAGGAGGCGTTGTTTGAGCAGGCTGCGTCAATCGAGTCGTTCAACTTCAATCCCTTCGCAGCCGGTATTGCATATGAGAAGATCTTCAAGGTGTACGTCGTTCGCTGTTCTCGTGACGTAATGTGCTTGGATTGCTCACACCATCCGTTAGACACCGTGGTCTGCAGACCGACGAGAAGGTCGTCCAGGAGCGCGTTGCTATGCTGAGTGCGAAGCTTGACGCCTATGACGTTATCCTTGGCAAGCAGAAGTATCTAGCTGGAAATGTGAGTATCTTAATGTACAGTGGCTTCCACGGAAGATGTTGACAGATCGTGCAGACAGTCACCCTGGCTGATCTTCAGCACCTCCCTTACGGCACACTGCTTGCCAACTCTGGCTTTAGTGAGCTCTTTTCCAGCCGCCCCAACGTTGCGAGGTAGGTTTATCACTGCATGCGCCGGAAGTATGTTCATGGTATCTGACTTGATTTAGATGGTGGAACGACCTCACCAACAGGCCAACCTGGAAGGACGTCCTCGAGAACGTCAAGTAAATACAACATGTATCCATTAGCACGATGTGTAGTTGCATCGAATGTACATTGTACGAGGAAGTAGACTTGTCTCATTAGATAACCAATGTTTCGAAAGCTGTGTGGGACTGGCCGGCTTCTTTCTTCATTACACAAAAGGATTAAATGCCGTGCTTACTGCGCACAACGACACCGGAGCATACACGTGCCCCTCGTACGAAATGGCCAGATCAATGTATAGCACCAAGCTAAGCATGCACCGCTGCCAACTTCGAAATGAACTATCAAAAGTAAGGCCGTTTACTACACAAGCCTCGATTTACATATCTTCAAGTTTGCTCCGCAAAAGCGGGGAAAACATAAAGCTCTGCCTTCAGATTATATTTCGGTAATTAAGCCTCGCATTGAGGTCGGTCCTAACATCAATCATGCCGTTGTGGAACTTGTGAAGTGTGAAGTTAGCAAGGGCTATATCTCTGCCGTAAGCTCGAATCTCAAACATTACCTACAATCCAGAAAACGCCCCATCCATCACAGCCTTCTGTTGGGACCGATATGTCTCTCCAACGCCCGGTGCAGGCACAGCATCTTCACGCCTCCCAACGTATACCACATTCCCATCTCCCCCCAATGCTCTCAACACCACTTCCAATCGATCTTTGACGTGTCCCCACGCCCCCTGGTTCTTCGGCTCCTCCTGCACCCACATCCACTCGACGCGCGTTGTCCCATTGCTTGTGTATAGTTTCAATACGTCCGTGAGTTCGGAGAATGGGAAGGGTGCAAGTTCCTCGATCCGAATGATCGCGACATGTTCATCGAGGTTGCGTGCAGTACGTTCTTTAACAAGATCATAGTACAGCTTACCGCTCATCAAGATGACACGTTTGGCCGTGTTCGTAGGTGTGTTATCGGGTATCACAGGGTGAAATTTCGTACCGGGGAGCATGTCAACCAGTCTCGACGAAGCGGCCTAGGTCAGAGTTAGGGTTAAGTTGCTCAGCCACTGTCGAGATGTTAGAAGTGCAACGCACCGCGAGGCGCAGAAGTCCCTTGGGAGCGGCGACCACTAAAGGCTTACGATAATTACGCTTCAGTTGGCGACGGAGGAGATGGAAGTACTGGGCTGGAGTCGTGGGATAGACGACATGCATGTTGACGTTTGTGTTCGGCTGAGGAGAGTATGCATCATTTGTGAGCTGCAAAAGAATGCACGTTAACACGGACACAACTTAAGGGTCGGAAATGGTGCCACCTGCAGCATCCGCTCGATCCGAGAAGACGAATGTTCAGGACCTGCACCGTCAAGACCATGCGGGAGGAGCAAAACAATTCCACTCTGCTTTGCCCACTTGGCTAGGTGAATACCGGTACGAGTTGAAGAACATCATTCCGTAACATGGTGTATGACTCACTTTCCGCGCTAGAAATAAACGTGTCGATGATCACTTGTGCACCATTGAAGAAGTCTCCGAACTTGTAGATAATAATGAGAATATGTTAAGAACGACCGGATAGATGACGGTGCGGTGTTGACTTACCTGCGCCTCCCAAATCGGCAGAAAATCAGGTCTCTCCCATGATGCTCCGTATTCGAACTAGCAAACAGGTCAACCGGTCCAGCACATACTGCCCACCAGCCTTACCCCTAAAACAGCTTCCTCACTCAACGAGCCTGTGCCACACAACATGCGATGAGGGAATACACTTATTGGTCGGGAAATGACTTACTGTTCGCCAGCTCCAGCTTGCCCGTTGCCCTACTCATGGCATGGTTCAAAGGAACGATTACTCCCTCCGTCTTCTGATCGACGAGCATTGCATGCCTACATCCGCGATCGAAAGATCCGTTGAAACCGCGAAGGGATGTTACTTACCGATGACTGAACGTCCCTCTCCCGACGTCTTGTCCAGCGATGCGAACATCACACCCCCCAAGCATGAGCGAGCCGAAAGCCATCGCCTGTCCTTGATTTAGTAGGCTCCGGTACCTATTTGGTTTGACTTGCCTCCGCAGTTGCCCAATCTATCCCTTCTCCTTTCTCCAACGCCGCTAGCCGACTCTTGACGTGTCGCTGCAAACGCGGATGAATTTCCTACTCAGCAACTCAGTACCTCCGCTCAGAAAGTCTTGGCATGACACTCACGAATCCGTCTGGGACAGACACACTGGCGCTGCCGACCTCCCTGAGTACTTCGGCGTCAACGCCCGTATCGAATGTCTGGGCTTCAGGCGAGCCAGGCCATACCATCTTCACGTCGTTATCGTCTATTTGGGTAGCATTCCATTGCCCTTCCATCTTAACCAATGGCGGGCTATATGATGCGGAGGCGGCAAGGGCATCCGTGAGTGTTGCCCTGCAAGAAGCGCATACTGAAGCAGCAGTATCTTCCTCCAGCGTACCCTCCTTCTAACGCGCATTTGTTAGGACGAGGAATGCATACTACTGCGTTACAGAGAAAAGACGTACTACGAGTTTGTCTTCGTACAGTGCTGGAACACTACGTCTTGCCCGGATCTTCTGGTACATCAGTGGTTGCGTAAACGATGGTTCATCGAGTTCGTTATGCCCCCTGAAAGATGAATGCGTGCACGCGTAATGCGGATCATATGTCAGGTGTCGTGTCTGAAATCGGGTAACATACCAACGCCGGTATACAAGCAGATCAATGACGACGTCTTTCCTAAAGTAATTCCTGTACTTGAAAGCGATTTCCACTGCACGAACGACGTCTAGGTGGATACGACTGCACGTCTGACGATGGTCTGAGTAAGCGGTATGGTACTACGAACCTTCGGGATAATCGCCATTGACGTGCAACACAGGGCAGTTGATCATCTTTGCGACGTCGGAACAGTAAAGGGAGGAGCGAGCTGACGATGCAGGTGTGGTATAACCGATGCTGAAGGGAAAGGCGTCAGCGGTGTTGAATGGCGAACAGCAGACAAGACAGCACGACACAGCATGAGACGTACTTGTTGCTATCGAAATAAAGCAGCCCTGATGTAAGGACCCGTGCACACATACTCGTGACAGAACCTACTTCACAACTATATGCACACTTCCTCCGCTCGTGTAGTGCGGGAGGTTACCTGGACCAAATCGTCAGAACTTGCCATTAGCACAGCAGAAGCAATCGAGCAAAACAACATATCATCCATGGAGAAAGGGAGCACGTACTCAACCCAAGCGTCTCCATCACGATACCTTGGCCAGTGAAGCTCGCGTCGCCATGAAGTTGGATGCACATGACCTATCCTTTGTAGAAGGATCGGGAATAAAGGGGGGGGAAACGAACACGTACTTTGTCCCCAAGCATGCATCCTTCCGCACCCTTACCGCCTTTCTCCAATGCTTTCAAGAGAGTGTACTGTTTGGCACGTGCTTTTCCGAGTGCAACGGGGTTAACGGCCTCTGCACGGAGCAAGGATCTCGGTGATAAGAGTTGACGTACGGGGTAGTACATACCAAGGTGAGAGGGATTAGGGAGGAGAGAAACTTTGATCTCCTTCCCGTCGTAGTTTAGGGTTGGGGATGCCACTATTCGGAAACCACAATTGAAGACCGCTGGCCCTCGGGCAGTAGACAACCCTTACCTAAGTGACTAAGGACGTCTCCGGCAAATTGCCCGCCCTGCACACTCCATTCTGCACCACCCTTAATCTTGTGGAAGAGGGCTGCAGGATCGTACCCAAGCAAACCAGTAAGTAGGTTCAGGCGTCCGCGGTGTGGCATGGCAAGCACGACGCGTGTTATACCCGCTGGTAGTCAGGGATGAAACTCCATTTAGCAATCTCAAAGACTCATTCACGCACCACGAGCAGCTTCGCCAATCAATGCGTCCAATGCAGGCAGCATAGATTCGCCACCCTCAAGGCCATACCGCTTCAAATTAGGAAACTTGGCCTGCAAGAAAGTGTCAAGGACTTCTGAGCAAGCGATTAACTGATGGATCCTCTGTTTGCGTTGCGCATTGCAGTGAAGCATAGACGTGGATGATTGCGACTCGAGCAAGTGTGCGAACCAGAGACGTTCTGTCCTGCTAGGAAGATCCATGTATTCATAGGCGATACGACCGACGTAAACAACGTTTAAGAACTCGGTTATGTCACGCAGAGCCCACTGGGTGTTTGACTCTGATTCGCGACCGGTCCAAAGGATACCACTGGTATCATACACTGCGTTGGGGTCGGGCAGCCCGTAGCGCTCTGGTTCGAGAGCAGGCACACGTTCACGACGAAGAAGGTCTAAAGGATCGATTGAGGCAGCCCGGTGACCATGAGTCCGAAGGGCATCCGCATAGCGCAGAAGTGGTGCATTCACTGCGCGGTTTCTTAGTTCCGCAGGTGTATCTGAAGACCAAGAAGCATTGTCGGGGGTCAGTGGATAAAGGGACGTAGACGTACAATCTGGCATAGTAAACTGCCTCGGCCTCCTGAACCCAAATGATTCATCGTGGTAAGCACGTCTGAGCGCTATCACTCTACCCTCCGACGTTGCGGTGGGTTGACTTCGCTTGGCCAGGTAGAGCCAAGTGGGGGTGTTGCGAGCCAGAATCATCTACACGCACTGGAAGAAGTTTCAAGTTAAGCTGTCTCGTCGTCAGGACACTTTGAGGCGAGTCACAGCAAAGCCTGGCTTAACAAGTGCGGGGACAGTTTACGTGGGACTCCCGGATGGATCATCAGTGCAACGGTCCAGGTGACCACATCGCGTAACTGAAATCAGACCAGCGTTCGACCGTCAACGAGGACTTTAGCACCCTGCTCCGCAAATCCCGACGTATGTTGCACATTTGAGTCCCAAGACTACAGTCCCCTACCACTAACCTAGAGAACCAGATGTCTTAAAGCAAGTGTCCTACCAAACCCTGATGTTCCACCCAACGCTTGGCAAGCAGTGACATGGAATCGACCAAGTCCATTGCATGTTAATGAGCATAAATGGCAGCCCTCACTTTAAGCCTTGCCGAGAGTCTCCACCAGACACCACCAGCAGCTGGTGTCTTGGTATCCTCTTTGCAGTACTTGCAAACCAAATTTTCAACGTCTTCATCTGATCCCTCTCTCCGTCTTGTCAACTTCTTATTGTCGTCAATCGCCACCTCCGGTAGCGTCGTTACGCAAACGTGGTCCTGAAAGGTCATCTCGAACTCCATTTCCAACATCCTCCCGTTCGCGGGTTTATCTTTCTCGGAGGGCGTGGACCACCACTGCTCCATTGTCTCGCCGTAATATTCCAACCCTGTTACAACTGCAACAAAGGGCACTCTGTGCAGGCTCTCCCGCAACAGCTTGAAAGTCTGCGGCATAAAGGTGTCCCTCATCGGCCGCATGCAGTAGAGTACGAGATCAATTCCACGATGAGCATGCAGGGATCGGACGTAGTTGATGAGGGTACCATCTTTGATATCCCCGCCGAAACCCGGTATCTCGTACACAGAAACATATCTCTCCGAGTCGCCGATTTGTATGAGATGTTTCTTGTCCCATCGTGTGTGTGGCTTGGCATCTGGACTATTTCGCGACACAGGACAACCGGCCAGGAGGTTCACGAGGGAGCTTACGCCCACTCCTGTGTGCCCGACGACCACGACAACATGCTTAGTAGTTTGTAGCGTGTAAGTGTTATGTTACATTATATCTGCACAGCACTCACTCGTTTATCATTATGCCTCCAGAGCATCCCGTGAAAGTATGATACAACACGAAGACGGACTTGAAACCAGCCTACAGTACAGAGAGTGTGAAAGCGAGGGCCGACAGCTCAGGGATGAGCTCCCCACACACTAATAGCTAGGTGAGGCGTGACTATATATTCGCACCGTAAACGGAAGCCTCGTGTGATCCTCATTCCCCGTAACGTGCCAGTCTTCTCCTGAGCGCTACCGTTTACCGGCTGAGACGGCCACAGCCGCCAATGTCGACATTGTTATCATGCGCACATCACAGTAGTGTGTATGTCTCCATTGCTTTCTTACCTCGGTTAGCAAACGGCCAGCATTCTGGCCTCATACCTTCATTCATAAGCGTGCGCAGTGAATTCCCGACCTCCGCAGGCCATCCAGACTGTCATTCTCTAGTCCGAAGGTAACGAACATCCCGCAAGATATGGAAAACAGAAGAGTTCATCCCGCGCTCATCGGAGTGACGACTCCGGTTTTCTCTTCATTCCCCTGCATCTCTCCAGCAAGATGTTGTGTATCACCTCCTGCGACTGCTTGCGCCGTTCGCTGAACGTATTGTGATGGGCCGCATCTTCGGGAGGTAGGGTCGTTACGCATGCGTGTTGGTCAAATGACATTCCCATATTCTCTAGCGCTTGACCATTAGCGAGTTTGCCGGCTTCCGAGGGTGTGGTCCACCAGCTCTCCATACTTCCCTCAACCCTCTCCAGCTCTGTCACTGCGGCCACAATTGGGACCCCCAAAGGAACAACGCGGCGGATTTCGTGTAAAATGTCTGGCATCATGGTTTGCCTCGCCTTGCGCATGCAATACACCAGGACGTCGATTCCCTGTTCTCGTTCCAGCGACTGGATATTTTCGATGGTTTCGCTTTCCGACGAGACACCTCCAAATCCAGGGATGTCATAAATGCAAAAGCGTTTGCCGGCAAAGGAGGCATGATGACCCATCATTTTCTGTGTACATGGCCTGGTGTCTGCGTGGCACTGAGCCACAGTCGAGCCTGCAATTAGGTTGACTAGAGAGCTGATGCCTGCGCCCGTCCTGCCAAACACCACCACTATATATGGTTCTTGACCACCGCGTTCTCTATTCGGTGGCTCGGCTTGATGAACCTGCTTCATGGGACCGTGAGTGTCACGACAGGTAATTTAAGAACATCCTTGGACTAACCACAAGCGCTCTTGCGGGTGCGCTATTTGACTTGGAACGAAAGCAAAGGAAACCCATTATAACAAGAAGGGAGAGTAAGCTGAACGCGTGGGCTAAAACTGAACACTTTTGTATGGTGGATGTACGTTGTTTCAGCCTACAACTGTGCCCCCTACGCCTGGCGTGGCACATGCAGATTTGCTTAATGCCCGTCGACATCGTATGCCTCGTGGAAACTGTGAGGGATGAGGCCTTGAGGGTGCCACGTGTTTCAGGCCCTTGCCATCTTATCTTGGCGTGCAGCAATTGCTTAGGGTTCAATATTGGGCTGCATGTGCGCAATGAGGTACACTTAAACGGGTGAATGCATGGTTATACCTGTTCAGTTTCCGCTTCTTCTGGCTTCGGGAAGCAACTAAACCATCCACACCTGTTTTGGTGTGAATGGCCAACATCCTACGCCCGCGGTCATGAGTCCGTCAAATACCATACAGATAATTCTGTGGAGAGTGGCTATGCACATGAAAAGTACAAGGTAGCGCCGAAACCTGGAGCATACGGAGGGTATCACTTACAACTAGTACGCGAAATGTAGTACACGAAAGAGGGGCATCGAAAAGAAAAAGACGCACGAGTACAACCTAAAAATACCACAACGAACCCTTGTCAATTACAACATCTTATAATCAGGTCTCTTACTGCTCTCGTAGATTCGATTCGCCTCCCATACAGGTCCAGGTTGTAGGACACGTCTTCAGGCGAGAGTGTCGTTACGCATGCATGGTCGACGAATTTGAGACCTTTTCCCAGTAGGTCCCCTCCGTTCCTCAACCACCAGTTTTCCATATCACCTCCATGTCTTTCCAAGCCCGTCACAACCGCTACTATAGGCACTCTGTCGGGTACGGCTGATCGGACGGCGTTGTAGTACCCCTTCACAGTACCGTCCTTTGGTCGGATGCAGTTGATGACCAGGTCAATCCCACGCTCGCGATGCAGTCTCCCGATAAGTTTTGCTGGGGAAAACCCCTTTCTGAACCCAGGAAAGTCATACACTTCGAATTCCTGCCCGTCAATTTCCGTTCTGTAAAAAGTCGGCTCGAGCGTGCACGGATGAATGTCGCTATGATAGGGTGCTTCTTCTCGCCCGAGAATGAGGTTTACAAGAGAGCTGACGCCCATCCCCGTGCGTCCAAACACGACGATGACTTGTACTGCCTGCACAGTGAGCTGTAAGCCCGCTCGTGCATTCAGACCCAAAAGATACCGACACTGACCTTGTCGTACGGCGCCGGTCCATCAGACATGTTTTGCTTCAATGGGCTGAAACCCCGCAACATAGAAAGCATCCTTGAGTTTTGGATGTAGAGGGCGCGAAGATTCGTTGGAACCGCGTGTGTGCAGGGTGACCGGGTATTTAAATGTCTGGTTGAGACATGGTTGGTGCAGGCATATCATGCAGCCTCGTGGAAGATGCGTAGCCCATATGAAGCGGAATACACAACGTGGTCAACCTTCGTCACAGCATCCCTCTCACGGTTACCTGCTGGGGGAGCCCATGTCCCCAGAGCGATTTATAGTACAGACTCCGCCTTACAAGCTGAGCTTGGAGAATGTTACCTGGAGGGTGCGTTGCAGTGGTAGCTCCGCAACCCCGGATCTCGATACTCGGGGAAACTCAACGACTTGATCTGGACTTCCAACGGCGTATACCTCTTATGTAATCACGTGCTTCAGCCACGAGCAGGGTAGTGATGGCACCAGGGGACTCAAGGGCTTCCGCCGACATCGACCAATTCGAGCTTATTCGATAGGTTTGGTTTAGCGCAAACAGATAACCGACCAATAAGATGTCGGTAGGTGCCTGATCACGTTCATGTAAGGATGTCGTGCGTTTCGGAGGCCATATATGGCTAGGTTTCCGTTCGAGACCGGAACCCCAGCATACCAACCATGTGGCCCGTTCAGCTAACCAACAAGTTCAAAGCCAAGCGTACAACCATTCTCGGCCATTGCGATGCAGAGCACCAGCGGCGATACCTTCAAGCTGCGAGAGCCTCATAGACGCACGAGGTAACGATCTAGTCTGCCATGTACAGCACCAGCCTGAAAAACGTGTACCATCCATATGGCAGTGAGAACAGCAGTTCGAATCGAAGACATGACGATTCCAGGCGCTGGTTGAGGTATTTGGCGAGGGAAGCAACGTGCATTAGCTTATCGAATAGACGGAGTCATACCTCGCTACGGGCAGCCCGCGAAGCATGTTAATTTCCGTCTATCGCCAATTCGTGTTGGCGGAACAACACCTCAATTTTCCGAAGAATGGGGAGCTTTAAAATCCGCGACACGGAACGCTAGGAAGTGCAACCTGGAGGCCGGATGGTACAGCCAGTATTAGTCTGGGAATCACTATCCAAGAAGCGCAAGAGTCACCTTCAGTTATCCGCCCCTTCCCGCTCATCGTGGGCTGTGCAAACCACAACGCCGGTGAGCGCTACGAAAGTCTTTGGCAGATTGCGTCATGGTGTGCGTCTGTTTGTTTGGCTAATACTAATGCTGACCTACTACTAGTCCACTTGCGCGCTAGATGGTCCTGGCGAGACTAACCAACGGATCTTGTCACTTTTTACGGTTGACATGGAAGGTGTTTCCGAAAACATGGAACAAGCAGCGACCCTTGCGCTTCGGATCCTTGCGTATCCGAGGTGCTGGATTCTGGTAGATGCTATTTTCATAGCTCCCTTCAGACCCTCGAGAGCGTGGAACGATATTCACGTAGCGCAGTGCACAAATGCACGACCTCTTGAGGCTGTTTGTTGTGCAAAATCTACCCCCTTCGTTGATTACCTGCTTGCTTGTCATTGTCAGTGAAATTTTACCAATGGCTGTCCAATGACATCTGAATCCCCTTCTGCTGCGAACGCCAACTTTCTGTTACCTATCTCTCCCAAAGCTAGGTGGTAGAGGAAGCCCTTGAAAACCTCCCAACGTTCTCACCGTTCTCGGTGTTACACCCGGCTTTCTTGGCGAGTTCCCCTACACACGAAGCTGTTTCCAACGTGCCCAGCGCCGTTGTCATCGTATCAACTTCCTCCACGTAACGCGTAGCAGGCTTGAGTAAGTAACGGTGTCGATTTGCACATAGACTTACACGCTGTCAGGTCTGCAAATTCCAGTTATATTTGAAGTAGTGAACTAGCTCAGCTTTCAATAAGGATATCTCACTTACCTGCACAGCATCCCCATCAGACATTATCATATACTCGTGCTCACATGGTCGCGTGCGCCGTGTAGGTACGCTTTGACAGCCAGAATTCGTGCTAGGTTTCAATCAGCCCTAGATGAAAAGCATCGCTGGTTTCAGGTTAGTCAATTCCCTGAATTTTAGTGCTGACTGTGTGACTGGGAAGTGGCACGTGTCGTCAACGAATTGTGTATCAGCGGGCCGGTCGGGCCGCCGGCGTCATCAGCCCTCCGCACCTTATATTCGAGTCCAGCAGCCATCTACATCACGTTATCTCCACGTTCTAAAGCCACTCAAAGAGCCTACTTATCGCGATGTCCTCCCATCTCATCGAGCTCAACAGCGGCGAGTCCATCCCCGCCATCGGCCTCGGTGAGTAATTTTTACCAAGTGGAGTAACATGCCCCGCGTGAGCCTGCGTGGCGGGTGTCAGTGAGGGTCAGCAAAAAGGGCGAGGAACTAGCAACGTAACCATTATTATCTCCATGAGTTGAGCTAACAACGGCGATGCCCTGTTTCGCACAGGAACATGGCAATCCAAACCCCACGAAGTCGCACGTGCTGTGGCAATAGCGCTTGGGAAAGGATACAGGCACATCGATTGTGCTTGGTGTGTCATGTCTAGCTAACTATCGGTCTCGTGCGTCGTGACTAACACAGCATATCTCGCGTGTCAGGGCGTACGGAAATGAGAAGGAAGTTGGTGAAGGTCTCCGCGCCTCTGGGGTCTCCAGATCTGAGGTTTTCGTACGTGCTTCTTTGCTTATTCTACCCCTCGTAGAACGGGTCACGGACATGTCTTCTAGATTACGAGCAAATTGTGGGGAACATACCATCGTCGAGTCGAAGAATGTCTCAACGAGACGCTTGCTAACCTCGGAACCGACTATCTAGATCGTATGTCTTCGTGGGTCCTGGCCGGTTCCCGCGCGGTATTTCTAACAAACTTGTCGTTATGATCCCCAAAAGTATACCTGATTCATTGGCCCGTCCCTATGAATCCAAATGGGAATGACCCCATGATCCCAAAGCGGCCCGACGGGAGCCGTGACCTTGACGAGTCATGGGACATTCGAGACACCTGGAAAGGCATGGAAGAGGTGCTGAAGAAAGGTGACTCTAACGGCCATTGTGGTATCCTTCAGACTGAAGATAGATTTACTGTAACAATTCAGGCAAAGTTAAATCCATCGGGCTATCCAACTGTTCAGAGATGATGGTGGAAAAGATCCTGGCCACCGCAAACGTTATACCCGCGGCTAACCAGGTCTGTTCTCGCCCTCGGCAACTTGGCGGACATGACTAATCTTGATCAGTTGGAGCTGCACCTGTACAACCCACAGCACAGGCTCGTAGCCTACCTTAAGTCCAAGGGAATCGTACCACAAGCATACTCTCCACTTGGCTCCACGAACTCTCCACTCCTCCAGGATGAAGTGGCTACGGAGATCGCGAAAAGGCATGAACTAAAGACTTCCGATGTACTTTTGGGATACCTCCGTACGTGCACAACTTAAGTGAAGCTCCTCAGATGACAGAAGGAGAATATGCAGTCAGGAAAGACATTGTCATCTTGCCAAAGTCAACCAACCCCGCGCGGATCGAAGCGAATTTGATAGGAGCGCTAGAGGCCTATAAGAGGCTTACTGCGGAGGATATGGCCGTACTTGACAATGTTGCAGCAAATGGAAAGCAGAAACGGTTCATCATGCCTCCTTGGGGTAAGTCTCGTATACGATGACCTCGTGACCTTGCTTATCATGTGCAGGCATCGACCTCGGCTTCGAGAATTGGGGGTGAGGGGCCGGGCAGGGATCCCCATGATATCATGTATGACACTTGGCGTTTTTTTGTAAAGTAGGGACGCGAACAAATATTTATCATAAGTGGAGGGTCAATGATCACGAAGGACGTCGGGCTCGCGTAGCATCATACTCCCTGGGGCGCAAAGTTGAGAAGCGATCGGCCGAATCAGGGTTATGGTTGGGCGGCAGCGACAAGGCCGGCGTCACGCTGTACAGTGGCACATTGTATTATGGTTTGCCACCACGCTATCGGAAGTACATTGCACCGAGATGTAGTAAGTAAGTACCGTCCGTCGATGAGTCAAGGTTGTTATGCTAGACCGGTCACTCGGGAAAACCCGATGGCGACCTACTACCAAATGGTTTTCCGACCGTCGCACATTGGATGCACTGCAGCTGTTGGTTGACAGAATGAATTTGATAAATAAGCCGGTAAGCAGCCAACAAATGGCATTGTGATATCCACTCACCTAGCTTGCATCCACAGAAAGGCGGGCAACAAAAGGGTTACGTAACCTAGGAATTGTCTGGGAAAGGGTCGGACAGGCGGTGTCATCCGCTATGTGACAAAGGTGTGATACGTGTTGGTCCGAACGTGAATATGTAGGCAAGGTACAGCGCCCGAATGTAACTCTTGGTTCGAGCCTAACAGGGCCACGGCAGTCGGGGAAAACGCTACAGTTTTTGTCACGTCGCCAACAGTGACTCGGGTAGGTAGCGCTCGCTACCGGATCCTGCGGACAAGCCTTTTTTTTTTTTTACTGTAATGCACAGTCGAAAGATGGACGCTAGCAACGTCAGGATCGCCTTCGGTGCACGAGTACTAGCAAGATATTGCCGTTTCATTTCGACAAGCGATAATGACAATGATAATTTCATGTAAAATGGACCTTGCCTTGTCACAAAGGGCGAAAGTTGCCTCCAACGATTCGACAAAGGTGAATGTTACGAGACTGTGGCGGCCTTGCATCTCCTTGGATCTTTAGCCGGGGACATTTCAATATCTCGTGATGCCAGACCCGTGGTTCTCACGTGGCAGTGTTACGCCATCACAGTCCAAATTTGGAAAATTGCCAGCCAAGATATCGTGTCCGTTTTCTCGCAGTGTGAAATTCATTTCGCGGGCTCACGCATGGCCCTTGTGGATACAAGACTCCTTAGCGCTCCAGTGCCCCTTGAGATGGATATATAAACGGGTCCTGGCTCAGACGGACCATATCCTCATCCTTCCCCACTTACATCTTCCGAGTCTTCCTTCGACATGCCGGGCATGGTTATTGACGGTCGCGCACTAGATGCTGTCTCGGATGCCGTCGACGAAGGTATGCTCGCAGTCTGTCTGTTCCGCGAGCTTTGCCGTTGAGCGCTCCGACTCTGCAGTGAATGTGTTGAAAGGCAAATCGTGGGACGCTGAGTGTCAGCTCGAAACCACCAAAGATAAAACTAGCTTCCGGCAGTACGAGACCGCCTGCGAACGCGTCAAAGCCTTCTACAGAGAACAACATGGTATTGCAGCCTCTCTCCGTCTACGACTGTGCTCGAGGATCTAATGCGCTCCGTCATGTTTTACAGAAAAGCAGACGGTGGCCTTTAATATTAAAGCCCGGGTTGATTTCAAGAGCCGAAAACGCGCTCGTATGGGTGTATGGCAGGCCATCGAGATGCTTAACACTCTTGTCGACGATTCTGATCCTGATGTGCGTGGATCCCCTGTCATGTTGCTTTGATGTTGCTAAATTGCCACTCCAGACGGAGGTGTCCCAAATTGAGCACCTTCTACAGACTGCAGAGGCCATCCGACGTGATGGTAAGCCGGAATGGATGCAAGTTACCGGGCTTATCCATGATCTTGGCAAGCTCCTTCTCTTCTTCGACAGTCAAGGTCAATGGGATGTCGTCGGGGTTGGTGTTGCCAAATTCATGCTAGTTCTTTCGGAGGCTCACGGTTATTAAAGGATACCTTCGTCGTTGGCTGTGCCTTCTCTGACAAAAATATCTACCCTGAAACATTCCAGAAGAACCCGGACTATCATGACGCTGTGTACTCCACCAAATATGGCATCTACGAGCCCAACTGCGGGCTAGAGAATGTGATGATATCATGGGGTCATGATGAGGTGCGCAATCCAGTTCGAGTCCGCACTGCTTTCTGACTAACGTCGCTTGAAATAGTATCTGTATCATGTTGTCAAAGACCAAAGCACGCTGCCTTATGAGGCACTGGCGATGATCCGGTACCACAGTTTCTACCCGTGAGTTTAGTCTACTTTTGGCGTCTTCCATCTCATCGACATCCGTTCTTAGATGGCACCGCGAGGGCGCGTACATGCACCTTACTAATGCCAAGGACATGATCGCACTGGAGGCAGCGCGAGCATTCAACCCTTACGATCTTTACTCCAAGAGCAACGAGCAATGTGATGTCGAGAAGCTCCGCCCTTATTATGAGGGTCTTATTGCCAAGTTCTTCCCCCCTGAAATCGACTGGTAATCAGTTGCTGCCCGAGGACGATGACTGGTAACATTATGGAGTTTTGTTTATATATCACTAACACCATAGATTTACATCTTATAGAAGTACTCCTACGCATCCACGTCTTATTCCCTCCTATTCCCTGCTGTGCTGTTGACAGATAGTATATACGTCGATACATTGTCACTTTACCTTACTGTTAGACTGTTTATAGTTTAGTACGTGTTGTGATAATAGTACTGCGTCCTTATTTTGAACGACGGTGACCTGTCGCGCTGATCCTGCGGAGATAAGATTAGATCAACGCGAGAACTGCTCCACCTGCTTTCCCAAGCTAACACGAACGAAAACTCTTGCCATCAACACCCCACGTTCGAGCATACCCGGCTACTGCCAATTATCCTTTTCACGAGCGTACTGCATAGAACGAATATGACCGAGACGGCTCCAAAAAGCACTCTGCCGTACCCACCCGTCCACTATGGCAAGCAGTTCGTCGTTCTGAGCGATTGGTACGACTATTTTATTATCTGCTTTGTAAGACTTCTCATCTAATTTCCACAGGGATGGTACGATCACTAACTGCGATTCCAATGACTGTGCGTTCAGTGTCCACGCATGCCTACGCTTTGCCGTTATCTAACACTGCCGTGCACAGACATGACCGACAACCTCGGATACGGAAAAGAGAAACGCCGAGATGGAAATTTGGATATCCTGTCTGGAAAAACTACTTTCCGGTAAGTTTCCGGAAAATCGGAGAATGTGGTAGAGGTCGTCATTCTTTCTCTTTTTTTTTGGCGTTGTTTGTGCTCCGGAGCTTGTATGGAGTCTTCCGCTGATCGGTCATTCCGTTATCTGGGATTGGTAAACAGGGACGAGTTTCGTCGTATGCTCGACAGCGTTTCCGCGAACGGGCACACGTTGGACGAATGTAAGGAAGTCCTGAAACAGAGTGCGTCATTTTCTAGCTATCCCCTGTCTTCGCTCGGTTGGGAAAGGAACGAGGATTTACCGTGAAAACCCGTTGCTAACCACGCACGATCTGTCAGACATCAAACTCGACCCTGGATTTAGGGACTTCTACAGATACTGCAAGTCTAAAGACATCCCTGTCGTGATCGTCTCCAGGTGAGTGTGAATGAATTGAGAGAAGCTCACGGTGCGCTTGGTGTCGTTTTCCCTGGCACTACGCCTGCAACCTTAATTCTATTCGTGCCTTACTCTATTCAATGCTTTCCCGATGCGGATGATGGGATTGCGCTCATACGATCATGCCGTATACTCCTATCAGCGGAATGGAACCTATCATACGCTCCGTGCTCTCAGCGCTGGTTACGCCTGAAGAAGCGGCCGAAATTGACATCATATCCAACGACGTAGATGTCCATTTGGATGGTACGTGGAGCATCAAGTATCGTCATCCCACCAGGTACGCTTGCTTCGTCAGCCTTTGAGAACCGAGCAGCTCACTGCGCACGTTCGACCTCGTTTGCGTCCTCCTGCCTGCGATTGCCGGTATCATTGGCTCTCGGGACTTTCCCGCGCCAATAAATGTACAAATACGCGAAATATCGATGATATGGCATGTATATGATATATCACGGTCCACCCTTTGTGTCGTTCCTTTCACATAATACGTGTAGCGGATATGGCCACGACAAATCACAGGCGATTCTGCCATACCGTGCGCTCCCGAAGCCGCCCACGCTCTTTTTCTTTGGGGATGGCGTCTCAGGTGCGTATATCCGCATTCTACGAACGTCCTTTTTGGCTGAACACTTCACGCGCCCGCCTATTAAACACCCACTCTCTTATCTACGCAATCTATAACAGACATGTCAGCAGCACGGCATGCCGATGTATTGTTCGTCAAGCAGAAGAATGATGGAGAGAATGATCTTGCAGCGTATTGCAAACGGGAAGGCATTCCACACATTCTCTTCTCGGACTTCGGAGCTGCGCTGAACACTGTCAAGGCGATCGTAGAAGGCAGCAAGACTGCTGACGCAGCGTTGGCCGAAGGCAGGGCCGAATGAACCCGGTTGGACCAGGGTAGATTAGTAGATCATAGTAGATCAAAGCAATAGAGAACCGAATTCATAGTTCATACGTGGTAGTAAACCTGTATGGAGTGATGTGAACTTTGTACCCGTTCCGTGGTTTCTTCCAATTCTGTTCCTTGGAGTTGTGAGATCAAGGCACACTATGTCATTGAAATGTTCCCAGAAGTCTATGTGAATATGTACCCTCGAACTTACAACTTATAAATAAGGACCCAAGACCAAAATTGGTTTCTGTCGAGACGTCCTCATCAGGCATGCTCGCGAGGGCGTGTCCAGTCGTCAGTAGCAGACGTGTGGCGGAGTGGCGTTGCAAGGAACAGATGTGAGATCAGAGGCACAGCACCTACGTCTAGCCTGTTCAGTCACCCTTAGACGGTCTTAGGCAGGCTTGGGGCATATTGAACGTTCAGGAAAGGGAAGTTACCCTTGCGGGTCCCTATGGCAAGATGTTGCCGACGCATTGGTGGTTTCCATCAGTCAGGATTGCGTTGGGGACTCGGCTGACAGGCCACCCTAACAGAGCAGGACAGTTGGACGTCAGCGCAACATTCCTATGTAGCGTTCCCGAGGACACCGTTCATTCCACTGCTTACCGCCGACTCTCCGCAAAGGGACTAGAATCGGGGGGTTAGCAACTGAGTGGTATGTGATAGTACAGTATATTGTGAACATGCGACCTACACGTGGTTTATAATTATAAGGTGAAAGTTAGTAGTAAGAACAAACTCCGCATGCCTGCGACGGCAGCACCTTTGCTTCGACAAACATTGAGAGGTGGGGTGGCGTAGAGTTGATGCAGGTACGGCCATTGCAAGACTCGAACTTCCGCAAAATTGATGATCCGCCATAGCTAGTTATGGCTCAAAAACAACCTATACTTGAGCAGGACGAATCAAGGCCTTGCAAACCATTTCCAAGTATCCTGAAGCGGCCTAGGCTATACGTTGACGATCTTCTTCCTGAAGTCTTTTGCCGGATACTGGAGCTTAGCTTGCGTGGCTTGGGCGCAGCTGGTCATGAAAGGAAGAGAGAATTGGCCAGTGCGCCTTCGCAAGTGAAGAAAGGTAATTCTCGATGCTCCAGCGTTTTAGAGTCTGGACTAGCATCGTCATACTTTCGCGGTGCAACTTCTCGATGTTGGCCACTCACGTGAAGAGAAGTCGCAAATGTCTTCTGGACGTTAAGAGTGTAATCGATGATGGTACGGTACTTGCCGCATCCCTCTGTGTAGTCGTCTCGTCCGACTGTCCACCGATGGCGTCGTCTCCGAATTGATATCCAGAGAGGAGCAACGGACAAAACCTCTTTGACCAGCTCAGTTCCTTATTTTTCCTTTCTCTTTGCAATGTTTCTATCAGTGCTTATGGTGACTTTTACTCCGGAATTCCCAAGTTCGTTGTCTGGATTTCCTTCTCCCCCAACGCTCCCCCGCTCTGCAACACCTATTTATATATACTGGGTGGCACGTCACCCTTGGTGACTTCCCTGCGTTCCTCAAAGCTCATGCACCTCACCATATGGTATAACAAATTTTTGGGACCTTCATCGTTCTTCTCATTGTTCACATCTCAAAAGTTGACTTGCATCGAGCTATGTCTGCACGATTCTTTCCCTCTGCAACATCGGATAGTATTTATTTGCCATCCCTGACATCCGTCAGTGCTCCGTATGGCGATCCGTGGAAACTGTTCGAAGCGATCGTCGCTCCACAGCTCACCCAGTTCATTTTTGGGGAGGTGGTGACTGTGACCCGTCAGCAAAAGCTTTCGATGGCCTTGAATACAAGCTTATCAACGTCCTACACCTGGTCCTATTGTGGTTATCTCCGAGAGACTGCCAAGGATTTGTGTTCGCTATCTCCAAATCTTCACGAGGTGGAGATAAACCCGTATGCTGTGGCCCATTTCTTCGACGGCGGTGGATGCCGCTGGGATGGTTTGAACCAGTTACGTTGCTTGATCATCGACTGTGACTGTTACATATCCGAGTCGTTCACGGTGTCTAGGTTTGGACTATGGTTATAACAACGAAAGCTTGATGGACGACCACCGATACACGTCAAGTTCTTCGACGACGATCGTCTAACCAGGTCGAAAAGACTACAAGGGTTCGAATCTACCTACGATAAAATGCATCAGAACTGTATCTTGCAATCAATATAGAAATGGGTCCCTTCAAACAGAGAAAGGCTCTACTCATACGATTCTAACCACGGCCGGTGTGTACCTCCTACTCCGTGCGATGGATGCATGGCTGATCGTTTACTAATCATCACTACCTACAGGCGTTGCAGTTTGTGTTTTGTGTAGGCTACATGTCTATGGTTCGTTGCTAGCCTGCTGGTCGGACCACGTTATCTAGTGGATAAAAGCGGAACGTGTGGACCCATGCAGTTCAACGTGTAAACCCCATGGCACAATTGAATTCCTTTCATGCCCCATCTAGAGTGCGTCCTCCTGCTGGGCAGGAAAAGCATGCTTATAATAGTCTGCGCAGTGATCACTACACGGTAACTCTGCACTGACGCTATTCCCACTGCCACAATTCCAGCTGAAAGGTCCAAGTTACGTATCCTTGCCGCCTTGGGCTATCCTAACGAACATTTACATTTCAGTCACCTCATGCTGCAGGGAATGCCCTCCGGACCGAGGAAGCACCGCATTCAAAGCGTGTCGTTGCGCGCGAGACGGTTCGGTGTGTACAGACGTTCCGGCGTGCATTAATAGCTTCCGCTGTGAAATCTTGATAACCGGCTTTAGGAAACAGGACCACCAGCGGCGACTTTCTTTCGTTCTAAAACAAGTAGAAGAAATGATTGGCTTCCATCGAGTTTGTGGTTTGCTTTTACCTAGGGAGGCCGAAGACGACGGAGTGCCCGGAGACTGCTACATTTCAAAATTTTGTCTAGTGGCAGCGACCAGACGCAATAAGCGGTTTTGCATCCAGTTGCAACCCTTTAACACATGGAGTCCGTCATCCCTTGAAAGTAGATGTTACTAATCCCCCAACACATTCATTGCAGCGGGCAGACAGACAGATCTTGAACAGTGTTTCCCGCATTGAAATGCTCGCCATACCTCATACACGGGCTGTTGTAAAGTTGCGGAAGAACTAAAGAACCTAACTTTTAGGGTGCTCGAGGCAAGTGCAATGTTTTTGAAAGTAGGCACCTTCGTCCCTGGTCCAGACAGAATCTCTGCTAATTAGTGTTCCGTGCCGCGGTACGCGAAAATTGGTCGAAGCAATCGCCGCTCCACATCTCACCCATTTCACTTTTGGGAAAGTTCGTCACTGTAACCCCACGAAAGTTTTCGATGGCCTTGAATACAAGCTTATCAACGTTCAACGTTCAACGTTCACCACTTGATTCCGCGTGATCTCCCTGCTTTTCTTGCGAGGGAACTTTCCAATGACTTGTGTTCACTTTTTCCAAACATATATACGGTGGAAACGAACATGAGTGCTGTAGATCACCTCTACAATGATGATGGATGCTTTTGGGACGACTGGGAGAAGCTGCGTTACTTGGACATCGACCGCGTCACCGTGACGTATACCCGGAGGAGTTTACGGAAGTCCAGGCTCAGACTATGGGTGCAACGAGGGAAGTTTGACGAACGACCACTAATGTATCAAGCTCTTCAATTCTGGACGTCTCCAAAATCTAAAAGGGTTCGAGGCCACTTATAATACAATGCTGTCAGCACTACCATATACAGGCTTCGTAGTTTATGCTTTGTGTAGTACATTTTCATGGCGCATTGTCTAGCCTGCTAGCAGCAGGGCTAGGCAAAAAACCATAGGCCAGTGATCGCGGGGACCAAACTTCAGCTAGAACGAGGAATTTTTCGTTCGACATTGGAGCCACGTTATCTAGTGGATTGAAGCGGAACGTATGAAGTCATGCGCCGTGTGAGGTGCAGACCCCATAATACAACTGTGATCATTTCTTCCTCCATCCGCCGTGGCATGACAATCGCGTGATACCTCAATCATCTCATTTTGAAAACGATACTCTCCAGAGTGAGGAAGTTCCGCATACAAGGCATGTCGCCGCGCGCAGAGCGGTTCACCGGCCTTAAGGATTGCATACAATACCAGCAACGCACCTCAATGGCTTCTACTGTGCGTAGCTAGGTTTCGAAAAACCTCTGTGGCGACGACCTTCTGACCTTCTAACAGCGATCTGGTGTCCGGAGACTGACGGATCTATCAGCCTAGATTTTTGGTCCACGTCAACCTCACCGAAGCCAGGTTGTGATTTTCCGTGTAATAACCTGTGCGGTGGAGTTGAAACAACCAGCAACAAACATTTACCATCCAACTGCTCTTTATCCCAGCGCCATCGAGCCTTGAAAGTAATGCCCGTCAGTGTATCGCGCGACCTACCTCTCAACACTCTTCTACTCTCTCTGCGGACAATGAACCCGACAGTTGTAGTGGCGAAGGATTAGATACCATACTTGGCAGATTTTCTCCAACGAGCCAACCCACCTACTCTGAAACGACTGGTCCCGAGTCACCTTTGCTCATGGTTATTGCATCTGTTTCAGGGATTACCTTTGATCTTTGCTGCTGTCACCTTTTCGGGCCCACATACCTTTTCACCTATCCCTCCACCAAGCCCTCGTTAATCCAACACCCCAAACCCCTTTCAGACGGTCCAACCGAACTTCCAAATATTCTTGCTTAAGCGATCATTTCCGTTCAGCAACATCCTACGTTCTTACCTACCCTGGGTTGGGCTAGAAGATATACAAAGAAAACTCGAGTGCGGAATTCCGCACAGTGGCGATGAGTACGGGGCGCATTCCAGGGCTCTTTGAGCTTGAAGACCGTTTGGGTGTTGCGGTCTGTATTTTTTGTTTTCTTCGCTTGAAGACCACGAACATTGAGTGCTTTCCGGCATGAAGCCAAGTATTGCAATCGCAACTACAATGCCTTCGGAAGCAAATGAGATTTCACGCTCGGTACGGATTCGCAGTTGTAAAACTAAGCTCGGGGCAGCGTGAGTGTTTATCGTGCACGCCTCATGAAGGAAACATTGTTTATGTGTGTCCTCATATCTGCCCACCCTTCGCGAACCGCGTGATCGTTGAGCTCGTGAATTGGCGCTTAAACCTGTTCGATGTGACCTATTAAACATGCCAAGTATCATGATGGGTAAGGATTGCGTGGGAGGTATACATATCGTTTATTAGTACTCATTGAGAAGAATGAGGTCAAACTGCTTTGCATGGTGACGTCCGCGAAGAGAACTGAAACATATTCCGGGCAGCGAATAGAAATGCGTACGTACCATAAAAATTCGTGTGTCATGTATGAGCCCGTAAACATGGCTTGTTGATGTACCGAATATTCGGATGTAGCCAGGTCCTCGTTACCGTGGTGAACGAATATTAGGCAACCTTGGAAACATTTCGGTGGACCCATTTGACAGTTTGATTTCCTAGCCTCCTTGAGTCAGGCTATTCCAGAGTGACCCTTTATGATCGGAATGCAAAAAAAAGACTTCAGCTGTCCACGGAGCGCCTTTCTGGTGGGGGAAATATAACGTACTCCACCTCCGGCATAGAAGCCACGCTGGTAACAATTCTAGAATGAGTCAAGCGGTAGAGTGTTGCTGAACGAGCTGGGCTGCCAGATTTGCGTGGGAGAGTGCTTTGCCAACGTGTCTGGACTCTGCGACGACATACCACGTCTCTCCCCGAGTCCAGACTAAATACTTAAACGTTTTCTGGGCAGTGGTACGGTGAACTCGCTACGCACCAGATTCGTGGGTCTCCAGACATTCACCTGAACCGCCGACTGAGAGAGCGAGCAGCATGCCCTTGTTCGACCTCCTGCTGTCTTCGTTGCTAGTCAAGGCCCTAGTCACTGTGGTCTTCCTGTCGCTCTCTTCGCAAATGTTCTTCGCAAAGAAAAAGTGGGATCCAAAGGGGAAGGTAAATGCATCGCAGTTGAACTCTATACCGAGACTGACGTGTCCAGCATGTATATGTCACTGGTGGTAGCCAAGGTCTCGGTCTTGCACTCGCAAAAGACCTGGCCAGGAAAGGAGCCAGTGTATCTATCGTTGCACGCACGCAGAGCAAACTTGATGCAGCGTTGAAGGAGCTTCGAGGTGCGTTGGTCACCCGCTGAAGAGCACCATTACCTCAGTAACCTTTGAATCATGCCATGTGTATACATATGATCAGTCTCTTCGCCAATCTCCAGCCCAGGCTTTCCGCGCCTTTTCCTTCTCCCTTAACACCGCAGATGCTTCGGCTGAAGCTCTCGAAAGCTGTATGCGCTGCAAACGGTGGCCAAGTCCCCGATGCCGTGTTTGCGTGTGCTGGCGCCTCTAGGCCAATGTACCTCATCGACATGACTCCCGGGGACTTTGAACGAGGCATGACAGATGGTTTCTGGGTGCAGGCTTGGACCGCTTTTGTGCGTGTGCTCAGCATTGATTTTTCATATCACTCCTCATCGGAGCTGGTCTCGTGTTTGATGTCCCTAGGCTGCAGCCAAGGAGATGGCGAGACAGAACAAGAAAGGAAAGATTATATTGGTGTCATCGACACTGGGATACATGTCCTTTCGTTGGCTACTCTTCTTACGCGCCTGCGAAACATGCCCTCCGCGGTACATCCTGTATCCTGCCCCTCATTAGTCCCGTTCCTTACGTCAACCTACTCACACAGGTCTTGCGGAATCTCTCCGGTCAGAGTTGCTCTTGTACGGCATCGATGTCCACATCTTCTTCCCTCCCACAATGTATACCCCTGGATTCGACGAAGAGAATAAGACTAAGCCAAGTATCACCCGCAAGATCGAGTCTACGGATGAGGGATTGACCGCAGAACAAGCCGCAGCTGGACTCCTTACCGGTAAGTGGATGTACAGAGGAAAGGCAATTGTGCGATTTATCTTTGAAATAGGTGTTCAACGCGGAGACCATCATATCACTGCTGACCTTATAACGAGCTTGTTCCGCGCTTCGACAAGAGGGTCTGCCCCAAGAAGCAATGCATTTGTTGACACGGTACTCGACTTGGTCGCACTGGTAAGTATCTCTTCATATGGTCATGACTTGCAAGACATCGTTGACGGGGGAAAAAGATCGGCGTACCGATCTGGAGAGGCTCCGTCGATAAACAAGTTATCGCACATCGCGATGAGCACAAGGTGTACTTGGAAAGCAAAGGATTTTTCTCTGCATCACGGTAATCGCGCTATATGAACTCGTGAATACCTAATCGTGTTTGACTGGTTTGTACGACTTTGGATAGGTGCTCAGTTACTATGTGGTAGTGCTATCTGTTTGTTTAGTCGACCGCTGCCGAAAGACATTTGCTTGTTTTCGGATTTGCGGGTGCCGGTAAGATTGCACGCGAATCGTTCAGATAGGTAGGTATAGATGGTGCATGGTCTCACTTCTATTCCACAGCGTGCTTTTCTCATCGAGCCAGATCGCACTGGCGCTTGGCTCTGAACGCTCTTCCATTCGAACGGCGACGAGCAGATTTTCGTGGCACATCTCTACAAGCAATTCATAGTGTTCACGAGGTCGAGACAAGTTTGATGCATAATCAATGTCTTCCATGGAAATCTGCTTCCTTCGCTAACTCCTTTACTATGGTAAATGATCAGCGATGGGGTCGCCCGTGTAGGTGTGGACCGCATTCGTGAGCATGTCCAACGGCGATGTTTTCCTATCTTTTCCCTCACCAAAGCTGCCCTTAGGTGTGCTGTGGGAGCAGCGTTTGGAAGGGGAATATGGAATGGCCAAGGAAAGGAATGATGGGACGGCATCTAAGTTTTGCTGGCAAGTACTATACCTTCGCCACAGGGTGTTAAATTTGACCGTGTTTGGTACGTATTCATTCTTTCGCATCACATCATGTCTGTCCTGTGAAATCGAAGTCACATCATTAAACTAAGTCCGAGGATGTCGCAGGGGATACGGGGTGTACTCAGAAAACGGCGTTTCCTCTGATGTCAACTATCACCAGCCTGATCTTGAAAGTTCCTCGCTATACGACGAAGCTACCGTTTGCTCCTTCCATACATCTGGTATTCCTTCGCGTTGGGCAGTAGGTATCTGCAAGGCTGCATGCAGATCATTGAGATAAATAAATGCCAGGTATGTTTGGGCGTTTGATCTTTCGCTTTCCCTGAAATGAACATTCTTATCCATCTTGACCGTCTTGTCTCTGTTCTTGATTCCCTCCAATGCGAGCGGTGATGTCGTGGCACGTCTTTACAAGAACTTTCGGCGGCCATCATTTCAGGAATGGGTTGATTAGCCTCATGGTAGCCAGATCCGAATTGCACCGGGCACCATCACAGCCAACCTTGCAGGACCTTCCACAGTCCCAGGGTAGAAGGAAATGAAAAAGCAACCTGCGCCCACTTTTTTCAATTCTAGAATTCCATGCGCTTACGTCGCACCTGTTGTATCAAGTTCGGTGCTTGGTTTGGAACACTGTCCGGTAACCATCCGAAGGCCGAAAGGGTCGGCCGGTTTGCCGATTCTACAGCATGTCGGAGGAAAGGGGAGGATAAGGAAGCGAAGGTATGTAGTTGTTTCCTTCCAAGTTGTGTCTACTTCCCCTTATAAGGGATCCATCCAGTGGAGGGGAGGTTGGCGCTCCTCTACGGAAAAGCGGGTCTGCGTTCGCGTTCTGTTAGATAGTCTCCACAAACTTACGTCCACACGTGCGTGGACACTCGGAACGCGACAAGGAAGTAAGCGGAGGCTGGTCTGAAACCAAAGGCTTCCAAGTGCTGGAGACAACTCGCAAGTTTCGCGCCTGAATATGTCAGATCATAAGAGCGCAAGTATCACCCGTTTGACTTAGACTTATGTGATATATCATCAAACATGCAAGAACTCGTGCACTTCTCGGGGGCCAGTGCCAGATGCCTCCGCCTTCAAGCTTCATTGCTCAAACCACAAACAGATCTATTAGAGAGAACGACGGCCTTCTCCCATACGCATTCTATGTTTATTATCTCAGATCGTAACACATACAAAAGCAATCTTCTGGGTTGGCCCAAACATATCCTCTTCACAAGCATGCGACAACATTTCGAACTCTCACACATTGCGATCGCGGATGCTCCGGCCCTTACAGTTACCACATATGGGCGAACATTGCGCTTCTCCTGTTGGTATTTCCATCGTTTCATCTGCTACCAGGGTGGGTTGCCAGATGAAAAACATGACGCGTTGAATAATGCAGCGGGTTGGGCCTGCCATTCTGGTAATGACTTCATCCTGGTCAATGGGTGAGTATGAGAGGCTCAGTTGCTCGATCACCGCCGGCAGTATCTGGTAGTGAAGAGATTTGGACTTAGCAACTGAGAAACATAAGCCTCAGTATTCTGTTTTGCATCCCTTGGTGATATCCTCTTCACGCCGAGACATCCTTCTGGCAAGTAGACTTCCTTGGGTCCACATGTCGAAGCCCAAAGTAGTCTCGATTGGTGCCAGACGTTTTATGTAAAACGTTGGTGGGGAACCTGCATCAGGAAATTAACACTTTACTATTTTTGACCTTTTTGTGACTTTTTTTGACTTTTTTGTGACTATTGTGACTATTTGTGACATTTTGGGAAGGAACCTACTATCTGTACTTTTCTTTTGACCATATACAGCATTTTGAAGAATGAAAAGAGAACAGAATCTATTGAGACAACTAAGTAATGATATATCTAAGCCAAGAAGACTAGAAAATGTCTGAAAATTCAGAGATGTTGAGCCATTGGTGTGATGCACACTGTCTGAGAGAAAAATCACAATATCTCTTTGGAACCTCCATCAATTTGAATGTATGTGGTATTTACTGAAAGCTATGAATTAGGTGGTTTGAACAAGACCAAAATCAGCAAGAAAAGTGCAGCTATGCCTGCAGGACATGGGTAATGATAGTAGATTCCTTCCCAAAAAGTCAAAAATAGTAAAGTGTTATTTTCCTGCAGGCTGAGTACACTCCACAAAACACATTCTACACCCAGCTCGACCTCGTTCCCAAAGCATGTTCACTCGACCTCCTTCCCAAAACGTTTGGTCGAGACTAACTACTTCAAGGTCTGAGATACAGCAGGTAGTCTTTCCAGGGATGGTTGTCATCTTTGCGTTGCTGTAACGTCGGACGGTACCAGAATGAGAAGTACACCGCATTAAGAAATTGACCTGCCAGTAAGGCGAGGAAAAACTAGTGACCTCGTCTCTATCCAATCAGATCGATCAGTTGAGAAACTCAGCAAGCGCTTATCATAAGCGTAATTCGATGCCTTTGCAGCAGACAGTACGAGCCTCTGCGAACTCTACCCTACCCGAGGAGCTTAAGAAGGAGAGATGAGGAACTGGATAATACTACCAACCCATGGAACCCATTCGTCAGTTCATCTTGCAACTGCCTACCTTTTTGCCTACCATACATGCAACTGATGATTTCGCAACTGTCCTGGCCCATCTGATAGAACGTTGGGACTGGGCTATCGCTGCAGTACGTGTTTGCAACTTCTCGTTCACGAGTATGGGGCCCACTCATTTCTGCTTAGTACCGTAGCTACCTCAGGCATGCCACTACTCCTACCAAGCTACTATTGACCGAGGCATCATCTCCACAGTCTGCCTGGAGATAACCGTTACATCATCATCTCTACGCTTGTATTCCTCGCAATCGCACAAGGAATGCGTTTGATCTATAGCCGGATGACTGCCGAACAATTGCGAGTAAGTATGCACTGTTGTCGCTCGTTCCGGTCTTCATTTCGACGTAATAGACCCTGGTAGATACAGTTGGCCCTCGCGTTTTCACTGTCGTGACTGCTATACCTTCCTTCGGAGTAATCATCATCCCACTCATGCAGATCCTTTACATTTCCGGGTCTCCGTTCACCGCAGTCGGTCTCGTGTTAGCAATCACAGTGCCTGTTGTGATCCTTCCCTTGGCAGTGTTGTGCTTCCAAATAGTTCGAATGCAGGGATTGAATGATGCTCAGGCTTAGCAGTGAGGGTTTCTATACAATATTTGACTGTAACAAAGACCCCCCTTTTTGTTCTTGATGGTATGCTTTCTACCTATCATGATTACGACTCCCCTGGCACTGTATGAATATACGAGGCATACCAAGTACCTATGTAACAACTTGTTCACATAAGCATCTTTTCGAATCCTGTCCAGTTTCTGTGTGATAACAATCCTGGACATTTAATATTTATTCCACATCTGAGCCTTTGGTTCCTTCTCCTGGCGGAGCGGAATGGATCGTCAAATTGTACTACAGCTTCCAAGACCGTGACAACTTGTATCTGCACCGTAGTTCTATCACCATGCAACCTTCCAAACAGGAGCTCATCACGAACCACTAATCTTATTTTGATTTCATCACGGTTATAGATACTCTAGTACATGGGAGGTGGAGATCTCCTCAATCTTCTGATAGAGCGGGATGTCTTCCGGCGAGGACTTCACCTGTTTCTATGTGGCCGAGGTTTGTCCTTCCTCTTTTGCACCCTGCTTCCTGTGTAGCACATTATGTCCAGATGATCATAGCTATCGAGTCATGCCACAGACATGGCTTCATTCATCGTGACATTAAACCTGATGAGAGGTCTGTTAGATAGACAAATGGAAGAAAACTGAATGACACATCGCACCCAGTTCCTCGTATGGCTACTCGTCCATGTAGGGTGATCTGTAGCATATGGTTCTGGGCGGTGATGCACTGTGTCCATGAAGGTTAGACGTCAAGGTGGTTGTTTACGTGATTTCCATCAAGATCATGATATTGCTGTACGTCAGGCTGGTCCAAAGTAGAGTTTCGTGAACCGATGTTGGCTAATGACCAGCATCAATACTCCATCCGCGTCGAACAGTACTGTGGGTTCACACTACCAACCTTTATCTGACCTGTATCGTCGAAGGACTTCGTGACAAAACCTAGACAGCCCAACTGGCATCTCAGAAATTCCCGCGATCGTGTGTATATCCTTGGCTTTATCTTGAGGTCGTGGACCTTCTTCAGTGTCAAGGAGGGGTATTGGAAGTCGGACGCGTTCATGGGTACTAAGGCCTGTTTCCAGAAGGTATGAAGGCTTTCAGTCCAGGCAATTGGAGAAGGTTGTGGTCACGACCCGTGGCTTTGGGGTAGACAGAGGAGGAAGCTGGATTTGAAAATAACATAGCAGTCTAGAAAAGTAACCTGAAGGCACTTGTGAACGTGACTGGATCCCCGTTCAGTCAGTACCATGTCCTTGCGCCGCTGAAGAGTGGTATCCGTTCGCGACTGGACACTTGGAAGTAGGAAAGGAGTGCAGAATGCTACTCACCAGCATATTTCCAGCTCCGAAAGAGTAGAAAGGCTGGAATGCCGACTGCCACTCATGGTTACATTCGTTGATAGCATACATAGTATCGCCAGCATGATGTTTGCTGCTGTCGGAGGTGTGATTGAGCTCTGCATATGTACCCCTTGGAAATCATCCCTGTGTTTCTGAGGACGTCGGGCAAGAAACCTGCAAAGAAGAGATATAATTTTACCGACGCGCATCTGAATCCATGAAGCGATCATACCTAAGGTATGGGTATGAACACGTGTATATGAAACAATATTTAACAGCTTGGATGGTCGTCCGCCTCAGCATGTGTGCCCCCAGATCGATGGCTCACTCGCCGCTGCTCGAGGAGAGCAACCGACTGGAGAGAGAATGCGCCCACTTCCACTATAGCGAGAGGGGCGGGCGAGCACATTGGGAGACTCGAGCTTTGTTATGGACTCCGGCCTATCGACTCCATGTCAGCTATGTTCCAGGCATCATGGGGAGCGCGACGTCGCTTCTTCCACAGCTATGCGAGTTCGTGTGCTGAATGGAAAGTGGGACTGAAACCATAGGTGGCGGACTTATTGCATCAAACACAGGCCTTTCACCCCAGTACTTGCACTGTATCCTCCACATTCAAGACCATGCATCAATGCTCAGAACTCCAGCACTGGTAAGCAACTTGTCATACTGAGAGGAGTTTTGGGTCAGCATTACAAGGCACAACTGGGTTGTAAAGCAAGACAGTAGCACCCTTGCACGTCAAAATGGTCATATCATATTTTCTATCACAGGCAAAGCCTTTGGCCTATTACCTGGACCCAGGAAATGCAACGTTAACACTGCTGATTCGAGTGAGTGGACATCACGGATATCTCCCAAGTGAACTGTGGTGAGAGGGACATGTGGAATGGCAGAGGGAAGTCAGATGCCATCCAACTCCATTTGCTTGAATCTGCTGTACTCACCTATACATGTTTGTAGGGACGTCGAGAGGCAGCAGTGTTGGAGAGGTTGTCATCTTTGCCGCGACACGGAACAGGGAATATCGCTCGAATTTCAAAATTGTGCCACCCAAGGCAAAGAGACGAACATGGCACGACGGGCTGCATAAGAACTGCAGTGGAAAACCTGGATTTCACTCTTGAACTTTCGCAGATAACATGCTGGACCAACTTCTTGAGCGGGTGTTGGGGATTAGGGTCTGGGAATTTTGCATTTGAAATGTGCAAGTAGTCTCAGTACTAAACAGATGGCCGTGGCGCCAGCTTCCCTGTTGCGCGAACCATGAAACGCGTTGATCAGGGAAGACTTGCTGCGCCTGGAGATCGAAATACCAGCAACGGAGAAATGAATGGTCCCTCTTTGTGCCGGACTCGCCTTTTCGCACCCTCCAGCTCTTCCACAGTCGGTGTGACAATGGGTTGTAGACCTTTTCTTCTCCATTTCTCTATCTCCCTCTTTGCAAATATGGCCCGCTTCACCTCCTTGGCTGCTTTGGCTCGAGCAGCATTAGCTTTTTGATGCTCTTCTTTTTCTAACTTATTTCGCTCTCTTCGCTTCTTCTTCCACAACCGCTCCTGCTTTTCTTGCCTGCTCTTACATTTCTTTACCTCGGTCCCGTTCCTGTGTGGTCTGTTTCGTGAGCCTCGTACCATCCACTCATATCGCTTGCGCAGCTGCCTCGGCCTCCACTCTTGCCCGCATCACTGCTCGTCCTGCCTACACGATCTCCACCATCGTTCTGTGCACCTCTTCACGCGCCCTCCATGAAGCATCCTTGCATGTTAGCGCTCTTTCTGTGCTTCCTGGGGATGCACTTCACTGCTTCCGACTCTTCGCCGTGCTTGCCGTATGGTGACTTCATCTTGCGCACGGTTCATAATTGCTTGCGCGGTCGGGTTGGTGCTTGTGGACGGACAGGACAGGACCCATTACTCTAGCTTTGCCGCTCGAGATGTGAAGGAGTACGCTTAGTGAGAAGTATTTGGTCGTGCGCCAACTCACGGGCTCAATATGCAGTGTTTAAGTGGACGTGTGAAGTGGCTTAGGACGAGTGGGAAGACGACCTTCATTCTTGTATCGGGCTTTTTAGGATAAGGGTTGTACAGCCCTCCCTACGGGCGACACATGTAACGGCAAGTGCTTATTTGATTGAAACGTGAGGTCGTCTCATAACATCCCACGTTCCTATCAAGTACTGTCCTGCAGCCACTCGTGGATAAGTCGTCGATGATCGCAAAGTCTTCGAATGATGATGTCAGCCTGGAATAGAATCGGGCCATCGTCTCTGACCGTCAAACCAAAGCTTTAAACCTTCGAGTGTTATGCATTCCTTCCAGATGACCCTCCAAGATGGAATTTAGATCGGAAGATTGAACGATTATGTAGCGACATCCTTCGGTCAGTCCGAGTCTCCAAACCACTTCAATGTATACTGTGGCTACTAACTAAATTTCATACAGTAAGTAGGTGCACAAAACAGCTGGTGGTACAACGTAATCACGCCAGTCCTTTCAGCAGGGACCAAATTCATAGCTGAGAAGCGCTCTCGGGAACCCAAGAAATGATGCTTCAACTTGTCACATTCAGGCAGCCAAGTTTACATCATCTTCATTCCGAGGTTCACGTGGACAGCCTTGACCTCGGTGTAGCTGCGGAAAATCATTAGTAAATCCATAGGTGAGACTACAAGGAGAGGAGATCGTACTTATTCAAGGCATATTCTCCCATCTCCCGCCCGATCCCACTCTGCTTAAAACCGCCAAACGGCACGTTGGGGCCCGACACGCTGTAGCAATTCACCCAGAGCGACCCTGCCTTGAGCTTATGTGCTGTCGTGATCGCCCGAGTCACGTCCTTAGTGAAGACTGCCGCGGCGAGACCATACACTGTATCGTTTGCTTGACGCACAACGTCTTCTTCATCCTTGAACTTGATCACAACACTGACGGGTCCGAAGATTTCCTTCCCGCACGATACGCATATCTGGCTTGGCGTCGAGGAATATAGTCGGCTGGATGAAGTACCCTTCGTTACCATGGCGTTCTCCGCCGGTGTGGATTTTGGCGCCGTCCTTCTTTCCAGAGTCGATGTAATTCATAATGCGCTACGTAACGCGCATCGTCTCAGTACACAGAAAATCCCTAAAAAGTAGTCGAAGAATCTCACGTCGTACTGAATCTTGGAAATTTGCGGTCCCTGGAAGGTATCAGGAGCAAAGGGGTTCCCCAACCTTAATTGAACGCGTTTTTTCCGTAAAGCGTTTCAAGAATTCGTCGTAGATTCCTTCTTGCACAAATATACGCGAGCCCGCAACGCAGGACTGACCCTGGTTGTAACTGTTGGAAATCAATACCCATCAAGTGAACCGAAGAAATCAAGGAGACCTACAAAGCACCAAATCTAGCCCAGTTGACGGCCTGTTCAAGGTCTGCGTCGTTGAAGATGATATTCGGACTCTTCCCACCAAGTTCGAGGGTAACATTCTTCAAATTACTCTTGGCAGCAGCTTCCATGATTTTGCGCCCGGCGAGGGTACTTCCTGTGAATGCGACCTTATGGATTCGCATATGGGACGAGATGGCACTGCCAACAGTGTTGCCGTATCCAGTGACGACGTTCAAAACGCCGGGCGGAAAGCCCGCCTCGTTGACAAGGTGACACATACGTATCGCCGTGAGTGGTGTAAATTCAGATGGCTTCAGGAACGACCGAATTGCCTGTCGCAAGAGCAGGTGCAATCTTCCAAGCAAACATGATAACTGAGCTAGAAGTAAATTCTGGAGAAATACAGCCATAAATGCTTCAACGCACGAGGGGAGTTCCAAGGAATAATTTGGCCCTATACAGAAGCTTAGACCGGAACAGGAATGATATACGCAGCGCTTACAACGACTCCAATAGGCTCATGACGAGTGTAGGTGAATCTTTCCTCTGTTGTCTGCAAGATGTTTCAGAGATGGTGCGTCGTGTGTCGAATGATGAAGATCGTACCTCGATTACTCGGCCAGATATCTTATCAGTCCAGCCCGCAAAGTAGCGGATGCAATCGATGGCGGTAGTGACGTCTCCACTACGCGCAAGGTTGAAAGCCTTGCCTATGTTAGAAGGTAAATGTCACCATTGGGGGCCATGGATCGGCTGCATAGCATGATCTACACACCATTGTCCAAAGCTTCAAGGGCAGCGAGCTCATCAGTGTGTTCCTCCATCAGCGAAGCAAGCTTGTTAAGGAGAAGTCCCCTCTTGTTACCGGGGCAATTGAGACCCCACGTAGTCTCGAAGGCTTTCTCGGCGGCGTCGACTGCGAGGTCGACGTCTTTCGAGGTTCCTTCCGAAACAGAGGTAATCACTTTGTCATTGGCTGATCACATAACAAACCCGAGTCGCAGGGGGCAGCGATCACGCCAACGAAGACAGAACCGAGTGAGTATATTGAATTGCCACGGCATGAGGACGAGACGCACCCGGGTTCACCACGCTGTTGAACCACACATGGCGGAGAGGGATCAGAAACGACGAAGACAACCTGACAAATGCGTTACATACTCGATGGTAGTTCCGTCCTGACCCATCGACAAACTGGCCGTTGATGAAAAGGCCGGTGTTGAAGGATACCTTGCCCTTGTAGACGGGGGTGTTAAACTCGTGAGTGAAGATGGAAGGCATGTGTCTGTTGGGGACTGAGACTCGAAAGAAGGTAGCATATATAGGGATTTAGCTTGGCTGCTGTGCTAACCGGGGAGTTGATAGTTCTCCTGTGCGTAACGCTGAGGTAGTCAATGCATGGAGATTACGTCGACTTCAATGCCGCAGTGGACGGGGAAATAATAGTCATCGGTCGCTGACGACGTTGATGTCGAGTGTGTACAAAGCCATTTTTACGTTGCTCGTGCTGTGTTGAGTAAGAAATGCTGTAGATACCCCCGCCTACGTCACGACATCGTCCCCGGCCGGCCAGCCACGCAACCACACCGAGAAATACTACCAAAATGGATGACCCCCAATACTTCCCAACATAGCTTTAAGACCCCCCGCGACGTGTGTGTGTCGTCTCGCTTGATTCACCACCGACTTACTCATCGATCGACCACGTCTTTCCGACTAACCACCGCACTCTGATTGCCGGGTAGTGGAACAGTGGACTCGTAACGCACTAAAATTTTGGGCTCCCGAACAGCCGTCTGGACCGCTGCTGACTGAGAGAGCAAGAGCATGTCCTTGTTCGGCGTTTTGCCCTCTTCGTTGTTCGCCAAGGTCCTGGATGGCGGGCACGTCTTTCCGAGGAACTATAGGGCGTTCGCAAGGTCAGGATGAGGTTGAAAGACGGGTACTGGCCTTGACCAACTTGCCATGCCAGCAGCCTCGTCGTGTGATCAATGTCTTCCATGAAGGCAGAATACGTTCGGTATGCTTGTTCTGCGCTTCGACAAGAGATGCATCACAGGGTGCTGTCTTCGTGTTTATTATTAACCCATAATCATCTCTCCGGCGAAAGTCGACTTGCGCACCAACGTGGAGAAGGGCTATCGATAAAAAGACCACGCACGCTTCTAGGGACACGAAGACGCTTCAGTGTCCCTGGAAACTGGTGATTTTTCTGGGCGTCACGAACATATGAACACCGAAAGTGCAGTCTCTTCCGACCGTAGATTTCCAATTTAGATCCTGCTTCAGTAAGCATTCATGGGGTCGACCGTGTTTAATCCCTCACTACCATGGCGCATCCACAGTTGCAGTCAGAATATTGGGCGGTTGACCACTATTTTGGCAAAATGAATCAACTTTCCAGATATGTGTGTCAAAGCAATGTTCAGCGATGTTAACACAGAAAGAAAGGGAAATACTTCCTAAGTGCATTCGTCCCTAGATTGAGAACGAAATGAACTTAGTTGTATCGTAGCGTTTGCACTCTACGGTTTCTCGAACGAAACATTTCCCATTCTAGCTGAACTTTGGTCCCAGCGACCATGTAGACTACACAAAACACGTAACTGCAAAGCCTGTATGTAGTGGTAGTGAACGATCAGTTATGCATCCTTCGAGCAGAGTAGGGGTTACGTGCCGGCCATGCTCAGACTTGTACAAGTAGAGCCTTTCTCTGTATGAAGGAAGCAGTTCTCGTGTTAATCCCAAGATACAGTTCCGACATATTGAATCGTAGGCAGCCTTGAACCATTGTCGTCTTTTCAGACGTTCCAGATGTTCTTCGTCGAAGCAGATTGACATGTGTTGGTGGTCGATGGTCAAGCTTTCGCCGTTGTAACCATAGTCATAGTCCGAGCCTGGACACCAGGAACGACTTGGGTACGTAGCAGCCACAATCGATGATCAGGAAACGCGACTGGTACGGAGATCACGCAGAATGAAGGTGTTGGATGTCGATAAGCTTGTGTTCAAGGCCATCGAAGACTTTCGTTTGAGGGTCACAGTTACCATATCCCCAAAAAGTGAAATGGGCGAGCTGTGGAGCGACGATCGCTTCTAACAGCTTCTGCATGTTGCAATACGGAAAAGTGATGGACGTCAGGGATGGCAGATAAATACAGTCTGGAGCAGGGGATCATGCGGGTGTAGCTCGAGGTACGTTAACTTTTGAGATGCAAGTGATGAGGAGAGCGAGGAGGGTCCAGGAACTCAGTGGTACTGTACAGAGAGATGGGTGAACGTTGAGTATGCGGGGAAGTCGTCAAGGATACCGAGTCGCTCGGTGTATATCTCCAGGCGTTCCAGGGCAGGCGAGCATTGAGGGAAAAGGAAATCCGGATAATGAACTTTGTGATCCAGAAGGTCTATAAACGTTTCGTAGGCATCGATACAAACATGGCAGAGAGAAGGGAAATTTAAGGAATTGAGGTGGCCAAAGAGGACTTGCAACTGTTCGCCCGTTCCCCCCAGATAGGTACGGATACTACGCCATCGGTGCACGGAGGAAATGGCTGCACTGAGGGACGGACGAAGTGCTGCCGCACCAAGGTACACAATGATCCCGACGTCCAAAAGACATTTGCGACTCCTGTTCAGGTGAGCAGTCAGTGTTGAGACCTCCAACAAGGGAGGGATGGCGATCCTAGTCCAATACGTCGGAGTGCTGAGGATTATTACGCCTTTCCACCGGCGGGACACACTGGCCAATTCTCTCTTCCATTCAACTTTGGTCGCCTTGCAGAGAGTCGGAGGCAGGAACCGGAAGCAAGCAGTGGACACTATTTTCGGGAGTACAGCTTAGAACTTAGCGTTGGCGTTGGCTTTTTCATGTGGTCCTACTGCGAGTTGCTCTCACTGATTGTTCGCAGTGTTCACGTCACAGAGTGGTGACCTCGTTGCAGGATTCCGCGACTTGTACCCCACATTAAGATCCTAAAGCACGCCCTTCTTCAAGAGATGAACCCTGCCTCCAAAGCTATGACGAATCCTTTTTATCGTTCGCCGATGCTGTACTCGAGATGGGAGACTTACACGATCTCCGTTCAATCATCTCAGATCACGCGCCGGGACAGGTGCATCCCACAGTCGAGAGGGAATCATTGTCTTTCGTCGTGTCTTTGGTGTACCTAGGAGAGACTAGGTCTTGGAACCTATGTAGAAAATTTTCAACACGAATACGGTTGCACAAATATTGGTATCGTTTCGCCACATAGCTACATTTCCAAGGAAGGCAGTCGGGACCAACCTCAACGATGAGCCTATTCAATATAGCATGGCCGTGCGGGGACTGCATTGAGCATCACAGTGAGGGGCATCGGAGAACAGAGCCTTTCATCATAATGGCATCAAGATTCGTCTCCGCTCCAAATGGGGAAAACGGAATCACACCGTCTTGACCGCGAGTTCACTTGAGGGCATGCATTCCTCGGGACTGCTTGCCTTGACTGAGCAAGTGATACTGTACAGAGACAAAACAAGGAAAGACTGGTAAACGGATTCACTCACGACTAGAGCCCCTGAACTGGGGAGGTTATACAGAACGCTCGATGGTGTCAGGTTCAATTCATATTGACAAGACCACCGGCCATTCATGACTACATACCCAGCAGAATCAGTATTTTCACCAGCCAAAACGTACCTATATTTGTGCATGCCGAAGTGTGGAAGTGTCCCCACGTATGCCACTCGCACGGAGCAGGAGAAACAACCATACAAATCCAAAGGCCACATCATACCTCTTTCGCGGCGATAGGAAGAATCTGGTGGATATAGCGCAGCAGTCCGAGATACGTACTTGGTCTCCGAGGATATAGGTGCGATTCATCTGCAGATAGTCCCCTGCTTGGTTGCACTGTACTCAATTTGAGCTTGAACGACATCAAGAATCGCGGTGATCGGCGTGTTAGTATTGGGCGTCGTGGTGGGCGCCCCTTCGTGGAACAAGAACCGGAGATTGAAATTACGGAAGCCCCCGTGGATGCATTACATAATTTAGTAGCATCCCCTCAATCTCCGGTGCATGCGGTCCTGTACAAGAGCTGATGGCATAGCACAACCGGCGCGAGCACCCAATGCTTGAAACCAGTCTGTAGATATTGTTTTAGGTTACTACTGATGAACATGATATGTAGATGGATTCTGTCAACATCTCGCCCGCGGCTGTCCACGTGGATCAAGCTCAAGTTACAATTCGGCTTAGACTTGCCACTTCCATCAGATCGAAGAAGCCTCCGCACCCCGCATTTGGGTCGATGAAACAAGTATCCATATCAGGGACAAGCAAAACACTCGAAAAAGTTACTCGTTAGCGCGACAGGACTCGAGACACCCCCGAGCTGTTTGCTGGCCTGTGCCCCTGCCGGGAATTTTCTTAGATGCGTTCCCACCAGCCAAGGAGGGGGGCAGGGGTGACGTTGGTCTTTGCTAGTGTGTGACATGTGTTTTGGCAGATAAAAAGGAAAGGCGAGAACAATAGGACCCACTCCCCCCGCTTTTCTTATTGTCTCCCTCTTTCCGGTAATCCAGACATGCCGCCCACTCGCCTCTCCTCCTATCGTCGCCGCTCTTCTCTCGCCGTCCGTAAGTCATCCGATCTCTCACCCAATTCTCTTCCTCTCACGTCATATCCACAGCGACATCGTCCCACATCAAACCCGGTATCTACGGCGCTCCCTCTCCGTCCCCGAGATCTGTCACCTTCGCACCCAATGTTACCCCTGTAACATTCAGCGACCCATTATCGCTGGACACATCCACCGCAGAATCGTCCTCGCCTACGTCGCACATCTTCCCGCCTTCAGATTCACCAGCGCCGCCTCCGGCAAGGCGACGTGCCCCTCCTGGCAAGCGCCGGTCGCTTGGATACATCCCACGCCCACCCAATGCCTTCATGCTCTTCCGCGCTGACTTCGTCAGACAGAAACATGTTCCTGGGTCGATAGAAACTAACCATGGCTCTCTATCCAAGATCATCGGTAGGGCTGTCCTCCACTGTATCCCATCTGTTCCTTACGCCCTTCGCAGGTAACTGCTGGCGCGCTCTTCCCCTCGAGGAAAAACGCGTGTGGGAAATTAGAGCCAAGAAGGCAAAGGAAGAGCACTCGGCCATGTACCCAGGTTACCGCTTCCGTCCCGTCCACAACAAGGATAAGGCAAAGAAGAAGGCTAAACCACCCGTCAGCGCCTGAGGACGAAGAGCGTTGTGAAGCAGTCGCTCAACTGCTTCTCGAAGGAAAGAAGGGTGACGAACTCGCCGCAGCTATTCGCAAGTTGGGCGACAAGGCGGGTCAGACGGCGCTGCCACCTGCACCCGCATATCCATACCGCCGACCATCTTCAGTCCCTCTCCCAGACGGACCATTCCATCCTATCGCATTGCCTGCGCTGCCATTCCTGCAGCTGGGATCAAGATCGGGGTCGCCTGTAGGAAATATCTCTCGCTCAGCGAGGTTCATCCTTGGCCATCGCAGGTCTTCAAGCGTGCAGCCCATCCCCAGCAAACCATGGGGAATCCTCGATCACATGACACCCCTTCACCACGACATGTCCTCTCTCCCCGATGTCGACAGTACACTTTTCGACCCTGCGTTTTTCGATGCCGGGTTCTCTTTCCAGCCACACACGGAGTCATCTTTCGTGAGTTGTTTCTCCGTTTCAGTTTGTTCCATCAAGTAGATTTACTCCGTAAATGCTCTCAGAACGTGGGCGAGATGTATTCGGTCCCACCGCATGCGCATTCACCGGGTGAATTCCCTCTCAATGGATCGGTCGGAGTGCCTCCCAGGGACGCGGCACCATTTCCAGTGACGTCGTGCGATACATCTTCGCTCCCACAGTATACATCGATGACTATGACCACATCTAGCCCTCTTGCCATGACGCCCAATTCCATCCCCATGTCTATGTCCATGGGAGTCGCCTCAGACATGTCGATGTCCTTGCCCATGGCGAATGCCCGGCGTCGACATGGACCCCCTCACGTGGCTTCGGATCCTCTATGACAGATGTTGTTGATGTCGCCGACTTCTCGCATTCTCAGTCATCCTCGACGTATTCCGGTTCCCCTGCGACTTCAGATGTGTCGCTGCCGACTGTTGTCGCACCAAAACCGCAGCCAGCGTTTCAGCAACAGGTGGACACGGTCATATTCGAAGGTTGGGGGGATGTCGTTGGCAACGGTCCCGTCGAGCTTGCCACTCAGGGCCAGCCGGAGATGGAGCAGTCGCAGCACATCCAGGATGGATTTTCTGGTTTGTTCGCAAATGAATTTGACGGAGGTGCATTCGAATACGTGACAACGCAGGCGTTTTAAGTTGGAAGAAGGTCACTCGACGGGCGCATTGGATGCATTCATACGTTCAAGAATACGGCAAGGCAAGACCGGACGATATCACGACTTAGACGGACGATGACGACACGGCCATCCGCATTCACAACTAGCTTATGCATCGCGCATCTTTTTTTTTTCTCTTTTCTCTCTCTCTCCGAACAAACAGATCACACCTCCATTATAAAATGTATCATAGGTTATTTAGGGATTTGGTGAGTTGCTGTCGCTGATGGACGCTGGGGGGGAGGGACGATCTTCAGATACCCATACCCACATGTGGATACGTACTCTACTCCAGTGGCGACGGCAGGCACACTGGATTCGTTGATTAGATGTAGCATTAGAGATCTCTTTCCGTATCTTGACGGTTCATACGTCTTCGAATGTAGCTTTTAGTTTTATCTGTATTTCTTGGCCTGGAGTTAGAAGTAAATATAAATATTGTGCTCAATCTTCCAAGTTTCCACGTTCTACCAGATCAGATCCGAAGGGATAATAACGAATATCGATCGATCGCAGATCTTCGGAAACAAATATGGATCGATCCGCCGGAGTTATATGTATACTTCCTGAATTCAGCCTCATTCAAGGGAAATCATTTGACTTTCGTAGATCTGGAAGTAGCTATCATGCTAGCGACTCTTCTCATATATAGGGGTCGTTGCAAACAAGAGCGCTGTCCCCCGAACATCTGAGAGGATGGACAGAACTTGTGATGGCCTGACGGGTCCGTTGTAAGTACATACTTTAACAGTACTTGAGTCTGCTATAGGGCCTTGGCCAAGAAAATCAACAGCACAAAAGACGATATAAACGGTGCTATGCGAGAATTTTGAGGAGAATCGTCGGTATCTACGTTTTGCATAAGATCCAAGGTATCGCCATAGTAGGTATACGTAAAAACAAGCAACGTGTTCGTATGGTACGAAGTCCGTTCAAAATATTATCCTTATCCAAAAATCAGCTAGATACTGCACCAACGGACTTCGGCTGAGCCTTGTTCGACACATTGCTACGTGATGCAGTCGTGCTACACCTTCTGGATGGATTGTGCAGCACCGACGGCTCCATCGACGACAACGATATCCGCCCCTCATGAACCACACCCGTCCCCATTTTAACCTTGTTGGTGAACAGCGTCATGACCTCGTTCGCCCAATTACGAGACAACCCCATCTGGAAGTCCGGTGGGATGAGACGATTGCGTACGGACCACCTGGAGGATTCGGATTTTGCACTGGCCGCCCGCTCACGGTGAGATTCAGGAGGATGTTCGCATTCATCCACTCCACGGTTGTCTCTCTTTCCACGGTTCTCACGTCCTCCTTGTTCTCTTTTTTGCTTTGGCGTTGCTCCTGTAGGTTTGTATAGTCCAGGATATATTTTCTCGAGCTCTCTGGACCGTGTAAGTCTCGCGATTGCGGAACGGTCTTCCTCTGGCCAGACACCGACCTCGGAGTCGGTGGCAAAACTATCAGGTGTCCTCTGCCTACTCGGCACATCTGCATTTTCGGTCAAGGAGCCGAGCTCGCCTGCGCCTACCATCATGTTGACACTACTCTCGTTTGGACTATAGGTTTGTCTTTGGCCATATCCACCTCGATCCCTCCAGGTCCAAAACTTATCGTCCTGATTCGCGTCGAGGCTGGCACGGGATTCGGAATGTCGCCTACGTGAACGCAGATGGAAGAGGAGGGCGACGATGGCAATAGAACAAAGGGTAGCCGCTGCTCCGACAGAGCTACCTATAATAAATGTACTATCGCTGGTCGTTGAGGATGACGCGACCATTGAGGTTGGGGAAACAGAAGACAATGTGGAGGAATACACAGGCACCAAAGACGATTGTTCGGGTATATGCGAGGAGCTGGGGAGGGTGCCCGGTAACGTGAGAGGATGAGTGGTAGTTGATGTTATCGGTATCGTAGTATGTGGCGTAGTGGAGGCGGTTTGTGAGGTACTTGAGTATCCAGAGTGCGTGTGACTGCTGGGAACTGACTTCGTGGTGGATGTAACATACTTCGTAGTTGAAATGGAATGGGTGGTGGTTACAACCGTTCCAGAAGGAGCGGAGGATGAAGTTTGATAAGATGAGGTTTGATGGGAGCTTCCTGTTGTAGGCGCAGACTGACTTTGACTTTGGGATTCACGTGAAATTGGAGCAGAGGTCCCAAGCAAGCTCGTTGAAGATCTCGACCATGGCATCTGGCTTAGCGGTGGAATAGTGAATGGATGACTAGTCACCGCGCTAGGCGACGGAATCAATGAAGGCAGACTCGTTGGTAAAATTGGTAAACTTGTTGGCAAAAGATTGCTCTGCTCGGACATTGGAAGGATAGAGTTCAGCTAACATCATCTATATCTCAGTAACTTGTAGCACGTGTGGCGAGGTGATCGACTCACCCAGGTATCCACACCTGTGGTGGGTATTAGATTCGCTACGGCGAGTGCAGAAGAAAACCCTGCCGGAGAGATCGCAGGCATACTGTCAATTAAGAAGGATCGTGAGTGTCTGCGTCAATTCAATGTCCACGATGATAATGTCCGTAAGAAAGGAGCGTGGTTAAGAAGCGAGCGAAACGAAGTAAACGAATGACAGAGACGGAAAGCGTGGGTCCCAATGCAAGTATCCAGAGGAAAAAGATGGCCACGGATAATGGCAGTGGCTATCTTTATCCTAGAGCGAGAGAGGCCACATCATGATGGGCGCCCTGTAAGAGATAGACAAATGGTGAGATATACCTTGCCATCGGAATGTCAAGCAGAGTTAAACCACTTTTAGGGTGTTACAGAACTGAGGCATCACCGCACATGGATGTCTCGATCTGCAGACGTGACTCCGGTTACCTGTACATCTTGCATGGGAGTCTTATTGTCTTCGTGCATCATGTGTTTGACCTGCACCTCTCCAACAAATTTCGTGATTCAGTGATTATTTTGAAACGTTAAAGAGTCCCTTTAAGCGAAACCGTTTCGTAGGTAAGAACTATAAAAAGAAGTCCAGAGCAACAATTAGCATCGTCAAGGGAACCTATACAATGCCGCGCTTGACGGGTAGCTAATCACTCAGTTAAATACAAGTGCATGGTGAAACGAGAGCACAGATCCCACCATCATTGTCGCATCTATGTCACAGTGCAAGGCCAGTCTCAGGACTTGGCGGTGTCTGGCAAAGACGTACACCTAATTGGGAATTCTGCGGGTACATTGATTGGAATGTGTTCGCACCCTGCGCATGTGGTACTTTTGTATACGCAGATACCGAAGAACCACCAGAAGGTCCGGAATCGAAACTCCGCACAGCGGAGGCAACGGTGGCCTCGCTCCCTACCGGTAAAGCCGAATATATTGAAGGTTTCTGAGCTCGGTAGCGACGTATGCGACGCAAGATGAAGTAGACCACTATTACCGCAAGGAGTACACCAAGAAGGCTAAGTCCAACTATCAGGCCAACCGATATCGCGTGGGAACCTTGACTAGAGGACGTCTTTGTCTGTGACTGTGACGGTGACGGTGACTGCACGGAGTTGAAGGTGACAGTCTGTGTCGATACACCGGAGAGGTAGGTTGAGAACAGGGTTGCCGGAATAGAAGGTGAAATGGTAGGGCGCGGATCAAGTGAGGTATAGATTTGGCTCGAAGGGCCGCTGCTGGAAGAGAGCAACGGCGTGCTGGGTTCTACTATGAGCGTAGAAGATGGGTTCTGAGTGTAGGCTTCGGCCATTGAGAGGAGAGCAAGCGGGTTCGCCTCTTGCCACAAACAGGACATCACGGCTGTAGGCAGGGAAGGAATGTTGTCCAAAGCCCCCACATTAGGTATGGGCGACGTGGGCTCCACCGCCGTAGCGGACGCTGCACTCAAAGATCTTAGTCAACTGAGCGAATTCGCATAGGGAAGGGCTCACGCATAGTAATCGGAGGTGTTGTCGGACCCATATCCATAGATGAGGCAAAAGAATCAAACTGGATAAGCAACTGTGAGTAGAGGGGTGAAGTTATACACAAGATATGCAAAATGTGCAAATCATACATCAGCATAGCCCAAGCCATTGAAGTATGTATGTATCGTGTTCCCCGCATCCATCAGTTTGAATGTTGAACTCACTTACCTGTTACAGATCGTGAAAAACTTTCATCTATGATGAGAACCTGTTAGTCTGTGACAGGATATTTGTTGTTGTGAAGGTCACAGAGTGTGCCGTCCTTCCAGCGAGACGGCACAGATATTGATAACCCTTGAGCGCCATACTTATGCTGCTCGAATCGTGCAGAGAGAATACAAGGGATGAGTAGGTAGTCAGTATATGAAGAGTGTGGTACATGCTCGCCTTGTGCTATGTACGAGGAACAGAAAGCAAGAACCGGATTTGGACTTGAAACTGATTACAAAGCAAGTATATAGTCACATATTTGAGGTGATTATGTCAGCACGCTTGTAGCGTGACAAAGCTGGACTCCTGAGTTTCTGCTCCTTTTTCTCGCTCAGCCATCCTCTGCGTCATGCCGTTTGTGCGTAATTTTTTTCATCGTATTGGAATGATACACGCAATTATCAGTCCTGTCTGCCTACTCGGCCGGAGTCTTTCCATGCAAGAAGTAATGCTAACTCAGGCTCCAAGGATGTTTCAATAAGGGAGGATGATAATTTTAGTGTGAATAACGAATAATGACCGAGATTCCACTCCCGAGCCAAAATTTTATTGCGGTGAAGCTCGATAAGCACAAGTTCACGTCATGGTCACTCGACTCGTAAGTATAACAAACCTCCAACTTGCTAGGCTGAAAGAATCATTCACTACCAAGCCAATATGGATGTGATCGTAAGTGTTCTAAAGAAACTATCGTTGGTATCCGTATATTAAAATTTTGCGACAGGATGATGAGGGTATATGCGTGAGATGATGAGGCCAGCATGTGTGTGTACGGGCAAGGAGTGCGTTCACATGGTACTTGGTTATTTTAAAGTATGTTCCTTATCGACGAATCAGCTGCCACACACACCAGCGTCCCCAGAACCGTCATTCGAGATATCGTTGGGCAATGCAGTACCTGTTGGCGATGGCTCATACCGCACTGACAGCCTGGTAACCGACGATGCCTGACCCTTGGCAACCACGCCTGTCCTCATTTTAACCTGAGTTAAGACTTCTTTCCCCCTAGTCCAAGGTCCATCCTCTTGGCAAGTACAGCGTGATAAAGCGGCTAGGGATAGGATGACATTGAATATTCAGATTTTGCCCTGTGCTCACGACGAGGCTTGGGATGAGGTTCGTAATCATCGACTCCTGCGTCATCTGCTCCCCTTCCGCGATTTTCATGCCCCTCCTGGTCCCTTGTTTGTGTTCGCGTTGCTCGCGAGTGTTGCGAAGGGTAAAGCTTCTCGAGTTCTCTCGACCGTTGACATCTCGCAATTGCAGAACGTTCTTCTGGTAGTACGTCAACCGTGGGAGCAGTGGAAGTGGCAGCCGGTGTCCTCTGCCCACTCGGCAAATCAACATTGTCGGAAATGGACCCGGGACCCCCGGTGCCCACCATAGTCACACTGACATCACTCTCGCTCAGAGCGTGATTGTGTACATGACCTTTCCAGATCCCAGCCTTGTCGTTCCGGTTCACCGGGGGATCTGTGGGTTGCAGATGTTCGAAAGGGTACGGGCGGCAATGGGCATCAGAATTTCGTTGACGCGAACGTAGATAGAGGAGAAGAGAAATAGCCATGATGAAACAAAGGAGAGCTGCGGCTCCGACGGAGCAGCCTATAATAACGGCTCTATTGCTGCTCGCCAAAGACGACGTGGTTGTTGGAGTATGGGAGGACGAGGGAGACGAAGACGCATTGTTTTTCAGAGACGTGGTATATGATGCCAAAACAGGGGTCAGCGACGATGAAGCAGTGGTACCGTATCCAGTGGGACTCGGAGCTGACGTCGTAGGCGAGCGTGTCGAACTTTGGGGCGTTGGGATTGCTGAGGTCGTAGCAAGTGAAGAAACGCTACTCGAAAGCAGCATCGTGGGGACCGGGAGAGTGGTCTTCACGGACGACTGAAAAATGGAACCCATTCAATGGTGCCTAAATCTCAGTCTGTCCCAGTGCGCAGTAGGGCGGTTGACTCACAAGAATATCAGTATTTTGGGCGGAAAATATTGACTCTGTGATAAAATATTCCATACTAGTACTGAGAAGTACTGCCTCAAATGATATTTGTATGGCCATGCGGTCGATGAAGAACCGTAAAGTCAACGACCACGGTGATGATCCGTAGGAAAGGAGCGTGATTAAGAAGCAAACGGAAGGAAGTAAAAATGCAAAGACAGACAGTGGAGACTGGTCCAAATGCCAGGAAAGGGCAGTGGCTGCTTTAATATTCTCGGGCGACAGAGATCAGATCATGATGAACACCTTTTGGGAAACAGAAAGATAGTCATGATGTTTTCTTAAAGAATCAGAGACAATGTCCTTGATAATGAAACGAAAGAAAGGATACGTGAATCTGTTCATCTGGGTTTAAGTTACCGACAAGTCTCGCATGAACTTGGCCTTACTTACCGTCTCATGATCATCACGTGTTTGACCTGCGTCTCTCCAACAAAGTTCTTCAACAATTATTCTGAGACGTTACGTAGGTAGCGAGACCATTCAGGTAAGTGTCACATCGGAAAAACTAGAAGAATGTTCAGATGTGCATCAGCGCAAAATACTCGGTTGGACACAATGTATACGAAACGAAAGGTATAGTTTGCGCCACCATTATTGTCACAGCTATTTCACAAGGCAAGCCCGATCTTAGAACTCGGGTAAGTCCAACCGGGACGTGTGTCTGATTGGGAATCCAGTGGGCATGCCGATTCACATCTGTTCGTATCCTGCGCATATGATCCCTCTGCAGAGGCAGAAGCCGAATCATTTCCAGAGTCGCCCGCATCGACGGCCGTGCTCAGTGGAACCGACGGTGATGCCATCCTCGTTGAGCCACCAGCCACGCCAGGCAGCGACAAGGCGGCCTCCTTCACTGATGGAACTGGATGGATCAAAGGCCTCGAAGTTCGATGGTGACGGATACGACGCAGGTATAGTAGAATAAGGCAGACTATCAATGTCACGAGGAGGCCACCAACAAGAGCAAGTGCCACAATCAAGCCAACCAATACGGTATGACCGCTTTGGTTGACAGACGCATTTGCTTGCGACGGTGACTGTGAGGGGCCGGAGGATGCAACAGTCGAAACGTCGTCGGAGCAGCTTTGTGATAGAGACATGGTTGGAGTGGACGAGTTGTTACCGGGTGAAGTACTAACTTGGTTAGTGAAGGCGGTGCCAGACGGGGGAGTTGCAATTGCAGAGGTGGGAAAAGGGGGCCACGGCACGTCCCAGTAGGTGGGGCTTTGAGTAGAAGAGGTGTCTGTTGATGAAACATCACCAGGAGACGTGCTTGAGGTTTGTAGAGTATTCAGAGTATGCCTCGCTGATGTAGTCAATACTCTCAGCCTATCGAGATGACTCACATAAGAGTACTCACGATTCGCGCGAAATATCACCCAAGTACCTGTGACCGAGGGCAAAGGCATCAGGCCTGAGGGGTGTAGCTGGATGTAGCGAAAACGCTGAAAAGACTTTGTAGTGTGAGCTGAGAGAGTGGGCCCACACGAGATACGCAAGACGCACCGACACAACCTGAAAGATTAAGGGTATATATGTATCGCATGTTCCATGCCCACCGATCAAATAGACTGCTGAACTTGCTCATCTAGAGATTGATCTGTCACAGATCACGAGAAAATTGAATCCGTATGATGGGAACCCGTTACAGGACACTCGTTATAGAGCACAAAGGAGGTGCCTCATTTTCCAAACTCAAATGGGGAGAAAGTAAGGGCATTACATAATAACTTTGAACATGATACCTCTACACCACAGGTACAATCTTGACTGTGGAACTCTGTGCGACGGGTCTACGTGGATTGATGGATGACATCAAACGCAGGCTCCCTGGATATCAATGATTAAGTGTCCTAAGCGTTGGCCGGAAGTCTTACATACAAGGCTTTAAACTGGCCTACTTCGCATGGCACCCCACCCGACCTGTAATCTCCTCCCAGTACAGCAAATAATAGAACAGTCATGGAGGGACGTCGAGAATTGATTTGGTTAACAAAGACGTTTGCTATGCGGCCACGATGTTGCGTAAAGCGGAATGTAAATGAAGATCCCCTTCACCCGTGTGCAACGTGCTAACTCGAGGTGAAACGAGACTTGAACAAGTGCCTTTATTTGCTTCTGGCATTCTGTGAACGTAATGGATGTGACGGTAGGGAAAGTTCATTGGCCGCCGGTAACAGTAATATTAGTTGTGTGCAGTCACCATGGGAAACGGTACACCAACTGGTAAGCCTTCTACGCCTGTAGGAGAACGGTGAACCCACAGAAGTATCAGAATGTCGTGTCAACAACTAAGTGTGTCTGCAGTATTCTGCCAGAAATGTTGACTCATACCGATCTGCTCCGCTACAAATCAACCCCATGACACTCCGGTGGTTATCGTCGCAGTACCAAACGATTGTAAAACCTGGGAAGCTGAGGCATGAGGCGTAGTAGTCCGTGTGTGGGAATCCAAGTGTAACAAGTTGGCGCCTCTTGCTTCAGCTGAATTATGTAGTTGACGAACGTGAACTCAGGGGGAACACTGAGGTAGTCAAGAGCCATGCGGTGAAGATTTGAATACTTTTCGTTTCATTTTGGTCCACCACTTAAGGGGGTCAGCGACGGATTCATTTTTTTCTTGCAGGTACTCGTCGAGCTCACCCCTTGGGAGGTTGTTGCAAGTGAGATGTTGCCAAAATCTTCAACAACGCTGCGTTCCTTCCGGGGGCTGGATTAGTCTACTTCTCCCGTTCGTTTCGGGTCGTTACGACTGCAGTGCAGTCCGTGAAGTCAAGATGAATCTGGAGCAGCATAGATGTCCTGCCGCACTACGAAGGAACCCCATGGAACGAGTTAGCAAAGCGTGTATACTCAATCACAATCAGAGATCCCTACACATACCCAAACAAACAAATTTTCAGGGGCTTACCGTACCCGGAACAACCCTATGTAGTCCTTCCATGTGAACGTCGTGATCGAAGGAAAAGCTACCTCGTGCTCACTGATACCCATTTCTCCCTCTCGGCTCAACGTCACAGGTTATAGTGTCTTTTTGGTGTACTTGAAGTACGTCAAGAGGATATCATGATTATTCTCGACCCTCCACGGCCCTACACTGCTAGGAGCTCATTCAGCTGCTCGGCACCCGTGTACCCTCTCCCCCCACCAGTTACGGACGGAGTTCGTCTTTCGCCCAGTCTGCACATCCTGTACATCTTCGTCGCGCAGTAATGTTGATGGAAACCCCACCGAGCCGTGCATCCCACCATTCTATCTCTTCCATAGCTACGGAGCACAATACAGAGTGGTGTCTACGAGTTATGTTGAATAACCCAGTAAATTTATTTCTATCCATCGCATTCCCTTGGTTTCTTCGGAAGGAATACTTTGCAGCGTCGGCGGCAGAAGTTTCTCTATTTCAGGCGTTAACTCGATTGTCATTGAATCCAACCACAATATTTGCCGGTTCCGGTCGACATCGGCGACCGAGCGAACCAATAGTACTTGCGAGCTTGAACCAACAGCATGCAGAGCTACTGTGTAGCGCAATCAAGGAGCAGAATGCAGAAAGAGGGACAGGAACAGGTGTTGTAGGGTATCATTGTAGATGCTAAATAACCTTGACTACGTCCTCTGCCGAACCGATAATAACTGCGTCCACGACAGGTAGTGAGGCAGTGAGCAGTCAAGCAACACGAGTTAACGACATAGTAACAACTCACGCATTGTAGTTCCCTTCCGCTCAAACAGGCACTGTCAGAAAGTATGAATGGAGACGGTTAAACAGACCAATTCACATTCGGGGGGTATGTATACGAAACAAGATTGGATCAACAAAAAACTTACTTCATAATCATCGCCCGTCAAGATGACACTATCTCCGTGCATCAAAACAATCGAAAACGGAGGAACCGAAGGCCCGGCTTTCTTTCCCTTCCTCTGTTTACCTTTGCCCTTGTCCTTGGGTTTGATGGGCGCCGTCGATGCAGATCCGACGGATTCCATTGTTACCACCAGGGACGTGGCAGGGTCCGAGTTGTCTGCAGCGCCCACGGCTACCTGTCTACTAGCTTTGTCCCCGCCGCGGCCCACTACGTCGATAGTGCCTCCTCCAAACGCAGAGGCACTGTGCTTGAAGTTGTCTTGGTCCACTCGCCCTTGTGACGAAGCATTGCTCCCTAGTACCTGGTTTGGCTCGGCTTCATGTCTCGCCTCGGGTCCGGTGTCTCCGGGTGCGTCGGGAACGCTGTTATGATAGCCCCCTCGGGGAGACAAGTGTAGGACGACGTCGGCGCCTAGACACAGGACCGTCACTGGGCCCTCCTTTGCGCCGAGGACATTTGGCCACTGCAGTTAAGAATCGTAGCACAAAGTCAAAAAACCGTCGTACATAAACTGTAACCTTTCTCTTGCAAGACTCACTTTCCTCCTCCCGCTCGTGTACCACCCAACGACGGATAGCCGATCGAACCGCGGACGAATGGCCATGCCATATTTCTCGGTGATCTGCAGGAGATGATTGCGTGCACGGACAATACAATCCGGTACATCCGTCAACATAATTGACCCATGTAGATCCGTACTGCGACCCCAGCTGCTAGTCATGGTGAGATAGGTGAAAAATGGAGCTACAGCGCACGAGGTGAGCACATGAGCTAACAGTTCAAAAGCACAAGGGTGGCTGTAACTCACTCGCAGTGCTCTCGCGGCGCAGTATGACATCCCTCTGAACATCCTCCCAGAACGTTGTCGCCTCTTGCTGCAATTCCTCTCTATTCGCCGTAAACATATATACGGCCTGCACATTTTCCCGCAATACGTATGTGTAAGATAACATCCCGTTTTCCCATGTCTCCTTTTTGACGTCAAGACAGTGTGGAACGTGGTTTAATGGGAGAGGAACTGGCAACCTGGCATGTGGATCTCGGACGGACAGTAAGGGGACCACCTTTCCCAGAGGAAAGGCCTCCTTGCGCCATCATCATCAGCTTCCTCTAAATGAAGACGAGAAAAAAAGACACGGAAAAAGGAAAAACAACAACCGAAAGAAGCAAGATATACGGAAAAAAACAAACCAACAAAGCTCAAAAGCAAATGTACATACCTTTGTCATACAGATCTCACTCTGACATTGCCAATGCCGGAGAAAAAGTGGGGCATTCGCAAGCCCACACCGACGACAGAACCAACCTCTGGAGAACGAACATTCGTTGGGATGAAACGGACCCAGGATATCATATGGGAGGTAACTATAGTACCGAAGCCTGAGGTTTTGGATATGGTATCCAATACTCGGCGATTCTGAGGAGCGCCACCATGGACGCATGATATCAGGAGGTGCTACAGGCGCACTTTCGAATTCATGTGGAGGAGTGGAACGAGGGGAGGTACCCTCGTGAATATGGTTGTCCAAAAGGAACTCTTCTCCTCCAGGCGCCCATCCTAAGTTGAAACGCCACTGAACGGAACCCCAAAGCTTGCTCGTACGGGGATCACGAGTCCATTCGACGACTTCTTCCTAAATAAAAACGGCGCCAAACATGGTTCGATCAGAAAGGGGCACGAAATCACTGTTAGAACTGCGACCGTGCATGCGTACCTGTATAGAGGCAACAAAGAAGTATCCCAGGCATGCATAGACATTCTCTGGGGACGGTGTGGCTGGACAGAGGGGACTCTCCCGATGTGCCCAGATGAGGACAGGTATGTAATGCGATTGCGCACCGAATAGGATATCTATGTCGGACGGACGGGTATGGCGGACTGGAGCGAGTTCTGGGATGCTTTCAAGATCACGTCCAGTTTTGGGTGTGGGCGGAGCACTACTATCGTCAATGTTCATTGCTAAATGGACGGATTGGAGTTGAACACTCGGTTTCCCCGGCTAAACGATAAAAGCTGTGTGGATTCTCACCGGCAGGTGTATCCTCTACATTATTGGATGACTCCTTTGGAAGGATTAAGGTATCTGTATCACTGGTATACTTGGTGGTATCATCTTCATGCTTTAATTCTTTGTCATAAACAGGGGCCTCGGGCACAACTCGAGGACAGGCCTGAGCAGGAATAGAAGTTGGAACTAGAACAGGGGCAGGAGCATGTACGCCGGCCATGTCGACAGGTCCCACCTCGGATTTATGACCATTGCTTTCGACTTCCACTGAAACTTGCATGTTCGATTCCCGAGCTGACGTAAGCTGTGTAACCTCGCAGGCGCGCATATTGTTCACATTATTCCAAGGGTTCGAGCTCCCAACCCAGCTCGGCGCATCAGTAGCGAGATCATCGGAATAATCCAATTGGGTATAATCGGTCGGAAAGTGTTCCCAAGTAGGGAACGGAGATGGAGCACGCGCATTCGCACGCCAGAACCTCGACCCAGCGTTCCATGCTGATGCAGATGGGAGAGCGCAATTCTCCCCATCTAGCCCTGAAACGAACAAACCGAACCAGACGATTCAGCTCCCAGAATGATCGCCATATGAGCCACGCATGCTCACCGTGATACCCCTTCCATTTCCTCCATTGGTAATCCCCATCTGTAAAGCTGTTAACAGATTGAGGTCGATAATGAACATCGTCCCTCGTATGATTCATTGTTCCTACTCGAGGAATGCGAGGTTGCTGCGGGGCTTGGGTTTCGTTGGAGGAGGGTGGTACAGAATGTGGAGCGGGGTCGCCACCCTGTGAATGATCAACACCCTTTTGAATACGCGGAATTCTGCCGAGCTTTTTTAGAGGGTTATCCGCTTTCGAGACAGAGGAGGGGGCGGGAGAGACACGTGAATCGCTGTGCGACGATGACTCGCGTGTGACGTTGGGCGCCTCTTTCCGTGATGATGAAGGCGACGTCCGCTGACGTTTGGCACGCGGTGGATTTGAATCACCGCGACGCCGCTGGGCATCGTCAGTGTGGGGTTGGGTCCCCGAATGAGTAGTTAGGATGCTCGAGGAGATACTGTCCTCAGTGACATCGGGCTGTACAGTGTCGACGGAACTTGGAACAGACAATGGTGGTGGTGGCGAAGAAAAACCTGGTCTGGGCTGGTATACGAATTTCCACGTCCTGTGATACACTTGCGTATGAGTATTACCGAACCAGATGGAAGTATTGCTTCGTTTAGGTGTTTGGCCACGAGGAAGGAAAGAAACGAAATGATAAAGCAAAGGAATGAACAAGACGTACATCGACAGATTCAAACTGAGACGGTCTACCCATGTGTCTCCATGGTTCGCGCCTTTCGCGTCGCCCAGAAGGATTATTGGCGTCGCGCAATCCTCCCACGTCAGTCCCGACTGGGTCTTCCCAAGCCCAGGGAAGAGGGACAGAAGGTGCGTAAGGGTCTGTAGAAGAGATTGGAATGTTAGCGCGAGGGGATGGAATTCGGCATGTAAAGAGAACTGACCTTTGTCCACGCGCGTGGCAAGAGGGCGGGGCTTGTCGAGGGATGAGGGGAATTTGGAGGGACATGAGTCAAGGTAGGGGTCGCGCGGAGTGATTGCGTGACTCCCACGCTCTTGGAGCTATCGCGCGATGGTTTGACGAAAGACCACTCAAGTGTGGGAGCATCAAGCGGAGGCTCAGGCTGGGCTGCAGTAAACTTGGATATGCGTTGTCGTTTGTTACTGGGTTGTTGCGCAGATCTTGTAAGCTTCGATGTGGACGAGGGGTTGGTGACGAGTGGTGCAGGAGTCGGCTCCATTTCGACATCCTCCGTCACCGATGCCGACTCTGGCAATCTCTTGCGTCGTTTGTGCAGCGTCTCCCCATCCTGGTTCGCAAGTAGACGGCGCTTGGTAGTAGCAGAGGTGGTAGGTAGGCTCCTTTCCCCATTTTCGTTGCCTTGCGTGCTAAGACACAAAGGTAAGCAAGGCAAAGCGAGATGGCCGAGAGGGATCGTGAAGGCGTGCGTGACACGTACTCGCTTCCATTCTGCACGTCCGAGCTCTGGCTTTGAGCCTGGACGGGAGGCTGACGGGGCCCTCGAGTCGGGTTATGGTTACTGGGGAGTCGTATATTGTTAATCAGCACCAAAACGCAATCAGTACATACCCAAACCCGGTAGAAGGCGTCAGGGTGGCACCGGTCTTCGGCCCTGGGAGAGTGTCGTACCCGTCCATGACGAGGGGCACGCACTCTCTCCCCGCTTGCGTGCACCGTGCGCAAGATGGAAGACTACGTGAACAGGCTTGGTGGATTGAGCGACAGTAACAACAGCGCGATGGGACGACGAGTATAGAACGTGCATGGGCGCCTGTGTGACGTCTCCGGCCTGGTTTGACCGCGTCTGCGTCTATTTCGAATATGAACCATGGGTCTATGGCTTGGTGGTACGTCGACGGCAAAGGCGGATTCGTCGGTCTCCGCACGGACGGGTGCCATCGTCGAACGCTGTCTGGGATGTCCGAGTCGACGTCCATAGCTCAACGGACTAGCCGGTGTGGTTGTCTATGTAGTAGCTTCCAAGAAACAATTCCAAAGCTACAAGCTGCTAGTCTACTCATCCGAGTCCACAAACAAATCAGCACCAATGACACTCTCAAACTCTGGAACTATCACATGTATTGACGACAATGAAACATACAGAACAAGGGTAATTAGTCTGATTCCCCGAAGGTTCATGAAGCCTCAGGGGCATAATTCTGACTATGGGAAAAGCCCCCTGAGGTGGACGACGTTAGCTGTCGATGCCATATACCTTTTTGTTAACCAAGTACCCCTACAGGTGTCAAGGGAAATTGCGAGAGCAAGCCAAAGCAATAAGTTATTGGTAGATGTTGTTAGCAGAAAGGATGGAAAGTCAACATCTTGTAACAACCCAGAGTTTACGATGACCCGTTTCGACCACCTGAGGGCGCACTGTCATCGATCGACCCATCACGACCATCAAATAATGTCCATCCACCAGATCTGTATGCCTGCACAATCCTTCGCTCGTCGACGCTGTCATTACTCTGTATGAGGCACGCTGGGCACTCAGGAGGGTGAGGTGTTATGTGGTAGACGTGGTTAAACTGAGGCGGTATGTCACGTTACACCTTCTGCACCTGCAGCAAAAAACTCTTGTACCAGTGCTTCCCTTCATAATCTCGGCAACACCTCTTCCGTTTCTGCTCTGGTAGGTGGCGTCGGCAGCGTCCGCGCTTCAGGGGGTGAGGGGCGGAATATACGAAGCTGCGAGTGGAGTACGTGACATTCCATTCGTGTCTTGCGTTCGATTAGATGCATATGTAGGATCAGAATCAATGGAAGCCGTCGAAGGGACCGTTTTGGATCTCTTGGCTTGCGTTCCTTCCGTATCCTTCGTATCTGGGTCACGAGCATTTAGACCCGCATCTGTGTCTGCAATGTCGGACGTACTCCATTTTTCTTGTTAGGGCGAATGGTCTGGGTGGGTTGGCGAGGGTGTTGGTGGCTGGTTTTGCGTCGACTGGCCCGAGGATGATGACCCCGCTGATACAGATACGCCACGCGACACTTCAAAATTGCAGTATTGACTTGCCCAGTGGGAGACCCAAAGTATCTCGTACGCGTTCGCACCTTTCTTTCTATTCTGTGTAACAGACCGTCGTCTATACATCACCACCAGGCAAACGTAGAAACAACATACCCGCCTCCTCGACCATTTGCTCATATACCAGTAAGCCATCAATGCTTTAAGTCGCCATGGTATGCCGGTCCCTGGTTCACAGTATCCCTATAGTAATTGAATGCAACATTATCTTGCCTTGGAGGCGTTCACGTACGGCGGGAAGGCCTTTATTGGCGTGAGTAGCGTCAGCATACTAGCGGAACGTGGTTGTGAACACACTGAGAAAAAGGATATGCACGTACTTGTATCCTTTCGTCCCCAGTACCTTCTTCCCATCGCAACGTTCCTCCCGTTCGCACGCAATAACTTGATTTTTTCGATGCCTCTTCTCACTTAACAGCTTGTTTCGTCGTTCAGATTCCACACTTCGTAATCGGTTAATCCGGCCGTACAGTTCGGTCAGTCGCCCGGATAGATGAGACAGTGACACTCACCACCCACGCACCATTTTGTATTTTGAGACCTTCCAGCTTATCTCTCTCTCAAAATTCTTCCGCGCGTGGCCATCGTTCGTGCACTCGTACAATAATAAGCTGTTGCACGCGCTCGCCATCTTGGGCCGTCGGTCTGCCCGCATGCCGAGGCCGAGTTTGGCAGCTTGCGCTTCGCGGAATCGATAAAATATCGGCATGTTTCACTTGGCAAGGGGGAACTGCAAGTTGTCATTGGGGTATTGAAACGAGCTACGGTAAGTAGCAGGTGTGGATTACAAGGTTGCGTCCGCCCACGTGATACTAGTCATCTTGTAACTTGGGTGGCCATTTTGTGTTGGCTCGGACATCAGAGTTCTCTTTTGAGCTGTTCACGATAGATCCATTCGATTCTTTATAGTACACACAAGGCCTCTGACACATTTTAAGACGACACGTAGGTTACACGTAGTTGCCAAGTATAACGGCGCAACAACAATTCAAGGCTTATGGACCAGTCGCCCCATCCCCCCAGCTTTCGCTCAGGTTCAGTTGCATGACTTTACTAGTCATGTCCTCGAACCTAGTTCTTTTCGATGGCTGACCGTGCAAATCGTGTGCTTCTGTGAGGCGCTTTGAACGCGATGCAACAGGTGGGGTGCATTCTACTGGCTGTACTGGCACAACTAGCATGATTGAAATAAGCAAACGTAGCGGTGAGATTCGTCACAAATACCTGTCAATGCTGATGGGCGGCGACGAATATGCAGACGGCGAGTTTCGTCTGGACACGTAATAGCATCGTAGAGTTTGTTGACATCCACTGCACTCAGGTCATGGATTCCTTTGTTCCCGCATTTACGAACTCCAGCTGGCCAATTGACCAATGCATACCCATTTTTCTCTAGCTCTTGCTCGAGGGTAGACCATGGCAAGCGTTTGCAAGGTAAACTAAGCTCTCCTAGTTATGTCAGATCGCATGAACAAGAGCGGTCCATGGCCGTTGACTTACCGAGCATATCGAGAAGTCTTTGCTTTATTTCCTCCACTTTGTCTGACTTGGGTAGCCCCGAGGAGCTACTGTTTTCCGGTAAATGCATTAATAAAGTGCTTTCCCTTGCATTCCTAGTTAGTCGCGAGGCACTTCGGAATCGAGTGAGCGTGACGGACTCGAGACATGGGCTATTGTCACCACCCGAACGGCGGAAACAGTTGGATGCATTCAAACCACGAAAGTCAAGGTACTTCCTCTGGTAATGAACTTGTTAAGTGAAAGCGCCACGCAAGACACTCAGTAGACAGACCAATTTGAAGAGTTCCGCAACCACTCGCAACTCCACCTCGTCTTTCGAAAGGGTAGGGCTGCGTAGCATGGTCGTGAATGCCTCCATCCCCGCAGGTTCCCGATCGCTGACTTCCAAGGACCCCTGGAGTGATGGAGGCACGCTTCCGCCCTCTGTGTCATTACCAGAATCTATTACTTCGAAGCCCGCGGATGGCGATGAATCGGCCAAGGACTTCATACAGATCGCTCGGCACTTGGGACAGGTAGAGACACCGATTTCGTTGCTGCGAAGGAATATTGCTACAGCAACGAAGACCACAGTACTGTGGCGCAGATGTCGGCCATCTTGGTCAGAGGGGACCCAGTCAAGGTCATCGCCTACGCTGCACATGCTAAACAGACATTCTTCAGAATATCCCTGGTCAAGTTCATGGCAAAGCCTGACGCCCGTAGAAGACAACCAGGGGAGCACGGGCATATCAAAGCATGTAAGGAAGGTGCGCAGGAAGGACGAAAAATCACTGTGCCATTGCTGGTCATGCAGAACCGTGTCCATTTCGTCATCGCCACCGAGAGCGACCATCGCAGTTAGGCCTAGTACTTCCCAAGGGTCATGTGCGCCATCAAGGATGTTATCGGGAACTTCAATGTCTTCCAACCCCCACTCTGAGTTATCAGGTAGTACACAAGACAGCCGAGCAACGTGCTTCCGCAAGGGACGCGGGTATTTGTTGACACATGGAAGATATCGCATGTCCAAAGTGTGTTCCATCATCAGAGGTTCTAGTTTTTCGTCCATCATTTGCTTTGCTGTCGGACTTAGACGATACAAGGCGTGTTCTAGTCCACAGAAATCGGAACAGTAGGAGAAAAAGGCTTCCAGCAGCGAGACATCCAAAATCACCGCGTGTTCAGTAGTTATGTCCTTGTACCGTGACCTGACCCTTGCAAGTAGTCAGTCATACCAAGGCAAAGATGTGATGGGGGGCTAGACTTACAAGGACCGACAGTGCTCGCAGGGTTTGTAACCCACCTCCAAGGTTGGAAGTTTGCCCTCCAACCAAACGATCATATTGAACCACTGCTGCATACCATAACAATCCTCTGGAGAGCATATGCACCCATCCTCCTCGGCCTTCGCGATGGCATTCTCCCAGGCACTGGTTTGAGAAGGAAACCCGTCCCAGTACTTGCTAACGATGCCATTGAGAGTAAATGCTACGCGTGGAGCACTGAGCGTGGGGGGAGTAAGGCCATGAGAGGTAAACAGCTCTGCCACCTCTTTGGAGCTGGCGATTAACCAGGCAATGGCAGAAACGCGCTGTTCCGGTGTAGCACTGAGCACTCTTTGGTTTCTGTCAGTTAGAAGCGGGTATCGCTGCTGGTTGACGCGACGGCGCAGGGCTGACTCAGCGCTGACCCAATCCTCTTCCGTAAGCATCCCATGTGGCGCCCAATCTGGTTCCTCGGATCGAAGCCACTCTGAATCGCCGTCGGCCCAAAGCCACACATCGTCATCCACATCCCCCTCAATCAGTCTGAACCAAAGCACTTTGTGCATACGACAGCGGTCGTGAATCTCGTCCATTAAGTGCTGAATGACACCGAAAACAAATCCCATCCTCCATTCTTTTTCCATTTTGCATCGCCGTCGGACTAAACATTCGTCATCTTTTAAGACACTACCCTCCTGGAACCTGCTGCTAAAAGGTCACCCTCATCATCGATGAAAACCGCGTGTCCGCGTCATACGGCCCACTCACCCAGTGTTAACATCCTGGGACATCTGGACGACCGTGCTGGTACTAATGTCAAGTTTCTCGAAACTGCCACCAGAATGCGAATGTTGGGAGCTTGTATATGTGGCATTCTTGAACGACAACGAATCCCACCCACACTGGGCAACACACGGGTCACCATCATAAGAGTTGGTGGGTATGCTCGGGTATGCATTCTCTGAACACGGCAGAGGGTAACTGAAGGACATGATAAACGAAGAGATTGTTCTGTTGCGATAGCTGGGTGAGGGGGAATTGGCACGATCGTGCTTTTATGCAGAAGGCAAGCCCTTGTTGGTGGGCACACATCATCATCAACAAAACCACTCGCACAATACAAGGTCGCAAAATTCACCGCAATGTCCTAAAATTCAGTACAACTGATACTTGTCTCCGTCATATACAACATTGTATTGCACTACAACAAGTGGCTGAATACAGTGTGGATAGGGGTCGCAACCCATCTATTGGTACATGATGTTTTATAGCCATGTACCTTCGTGCCATTCAATGCATTTTAGTTTGTTGAATTGTATTCCTTGCCATACTTTATCACACATTACACTGGATTTCATATGAATGCAATAACTTCTATTGCATGGTATACATTACATGATGATACAGTCCACTGAGAGCAAGTTGCAAGCTGACAACGCTAGTACAACATCCAATGCATCTGGCAACGAGCAGCCATGCACCAGGCACAGGAATAAATGATGAAAAAGTATAAGAGGGAAGTGTTCGAACAATAAAGTAGAGGAAACGAAGGCAACGTTGGAACAACTTGCACTTGATATACTTATGTGGTGGCTCAGCCTTGTTCTTCGAGCGCTGACCAGCACTGCCACCTCGAGATTTCTTCATGGTCGTAGTGGGCTCTGGAGTGGGATCCTTTCATCTTCAGGATCTATCAGTGGGCTCCTAACAGACTCATATTCATTGCTCAGGTTATGGTGAAGATTTCTGTGACTGGACCAAGGCCCCGGAGGTGATCTGGGATGGGAGCTAGTGCGATGGTCAGGTGAATCGAAATCATCGCATTGCGGCACTGAATGGGCATCATCTCCCATGCTTGGTTGGATCTGCAGACCATGGTAAGCCAGTGGATTGATCCGGAGCAGAACATCACAAGTACTGCTACCTTGGCGCTGCCATTCTTGGGTGGCAGAGTACCTTCATCGTGGCGAGATACATGAACCACGGGTGTGGGAGACACACTAACCCGAGGCCGAGTGCGACTGTCAATTGAGTGTTGTGCATGTTCTTCAATACAATTCTATACCGTCGTCTGCGCATGGGCTCCGGGCTCGCCGAACAACTCGTCGTTGACAATCCACGCGAAACTAAGCAGTATCGTCTGCATAGTAAGTGGACTCACCCTCGCTATAAGCATGCACTCCCCTGAAGAGTCTACGCGATTCTGGGCATTCTGTGCTTTTGAGGCGTATGTGAGCGCGTATTACCCTGTGCAGGGTATACTTCGTGGAACCCTCGTTGCCAACGAGCACCATGCAGCGGTATAGAAAGTCAATCGAGTTCGAAAAGCATCTGCTATGACGGGGCGTGCGATGTCGACAAACAGAAGACCCGATGTGGTTCACCGGACGTGCATTGTACTGGCCTTCAGTTTGATACAGTGAGGGGCAGCCATTCTGACAGCCGACAGATAGATATGTTCGACGAGCGTTGCGAACCATGTATAAGGGTCGTTGGGCAATGTGCACATGGGAGCCGGCTGCCTCCGGACAACCTTGCACCCGAACAGGTGATCTTCCCGCCTAGACATAGGTTTTACTTGCCGGACACCTATGATGGTCTAGATCAAAAGGTCAGGTCATTGAAACAGTTGTGCTGCACCATTCGTCAGAAGGTATGGTGTATATAGGCATTGTGCAGATAGGTATATACTGAACGAAACGAACAGGGAATGCGGGATACAACGCAGCTTATTATGATATGGAAGAATCGTACACCTTGAAACCATATCTTCTCTGCACGGACGAAGCGGCGTGAAGCAGATGGTGCACAAGACAGAACACCTAGGTGACAATGTCAATCGCATTCCTCAATCGCTAGATCGAATCCACTTCGTCCCTCAGGCGAACAGTTGTGACAATCCGATGACTCGACACCATCAGTGATAAGCTCACACTGGCTGTCGCATCAATAAACATCGGGGTGCATAGCCTCGGTCGCACCTGCTGACTCTCACGGTGACCTGTCATCGCCATGGGCGTGTCCTCAGCTCTGTTGTGCTCGGGTGCACGCTGTCTCTTTCTACTGGCAATCCACCCTTATATCTTTTAAACTCCTAACAGTATCAGTGGGAATATCAGTGCGGGGAACATGCTCGCCACTATAAGACCACATGCGAGAGCCGGGGAGTCCGCTATCATGACGATTTTGATGTTGCGGATGATGATAAGGCCCAAGCGGGGGATAGCAGCGAGGATAGCAAAGTACAGTGACCCATGGTACGGATACGTTCCTACCCGAATCGACCAACGTGAATACGTGGGGGAAAGAATGGATCTTTACCTGTAATTCCTCGGAGGTCAACCCACTGTAAAGCAAGTGCATCCATTCTGTCATAGTGAGGAAGGCGAGTGTAGATAGCCCTACAGAAGAGTTGTCGGTGCGAATATTTGGGCTGAATGGATGACGTTGGGATAAAAGCAATGCATGTAGTAACGCTAGCATACCTCAGGTAGCTTCGATACTGTCCGCAAGTGAGAGGACATCGGTAGGGGAAGAGGCAGTGACATACCGGGTTGATATCCCATTCTCAGTACTCGACCAACTGTGCCAGAACCTGACCATAGTCGTCGGTTGCGTGTACGTTGGCAAAGGGGGTGAGTTGTGACATGAATTGGAGGATGATGATGTTGAGAAATTACTGTAAAAAGGAAGCTAGCACCTTCATAGACGGGCGAGCCGTGATGCCACTAGTAAACTTCTCCGTTCCGTCGCCACAGTGACCAGTACTGGTGCTAATGCGAGGATAAGGATGAGGATGCACAGTAAAGGCTTACCATAGGAGGGAACTTACACAAGTTCAATAGTCTTATCGTGTTTGCTTTCGGCCCTGCTATTAATCCATACCTCCCTGCCACATCTGTCTTCTTCCCCTGTCAGACCGACCTTGGGTTATCACGATCATATCATATCAGTCAATTGTAGGTGATACAACATCGACTAGCTGGGTTTTCCCCTCATTTCGTACCTCTCTACTTGTCAGGATCGAGACGTCCTTTCCTGCACAAACCAGAATTCACCCAAGTCGCGTGGGTTCTCCAAGAAGACAAAACGCGCGCCCCTACTTGTAATAATAATCGTAAAGGATGTCCCTATATGGGCAGAGGACAAGGCATGCTTCACTTCGTAGGGGGGAATTGTGAGTTGTCATTGAGGTATTGAAACGAGCTACGGTAAGTAGTAGGTGGATTACAAGGTTGTGTCCGCCCACGTGATACCAGTTATCTTGTAACTTGGGTGGCCCTTTTTGCTGGCTCGGACATCAGAGTTCTCTTTCGAGCTGTTCACGATAGATCTATTCAATTCTTTATAGTACACACAAGGCCTCCGGCACATTTTATGACGACACGTAACTTACATGCAGTTGCCAAGGATAACGGCGCAACAACAATCGCAAGGCCTATGGACCAGTCGCCCCATCCCCCCGGCTTTCGCTCAGGTTCTGTTGCGTGACTTTACTAGTCATGTCCCTGAACCTAATTCTTTTCGATGGGCGACCGTGCAAATGATGTGCTTCTGTGGGGCGCTTTGAAGGCGATGAAACAGGCGGGGTGCATTCTACTGGCTGTACTGGCACAACTAGCATGATTGAAATAAGCAAACGTAGCGGTGAGATTCGCCACAAATACCTGTCAATGCTGATGGGCGGCGACGAATATGCAGACGGCGAGTTTCGTCTGGACACGTAATAGCATCGTAGAGTTTGTTGACATCCACTGCACTCAGGTCATGGATTCCTTTGTTCCCGCGCTTACGGACTCCAGCTGGCCAATTGACCAGTGCATACCCATTCTTCTCTAGCTCCTGCTCAAGAGTAGACCATGGCAGGCGATTGCAAGGTAAACTATGCTCTCCTAGTTATGTCAGATCGCATGGACGAGAGCAGTGCATGGCCGTTGACTTACCGAGCATATCAAGAAGTATTTGCTTTATTTCCTCCACCTTGTCTGACTTGGGTAGCCCCGAGGAGCCACTGTTTGCCGGTAAACGCCTTAGTAAGGTGCTTTCCCTTGCATTCCTAGTTAGTCGCGAGGCACTTCGGAATCGAGTGAGCATGACGGACTCGAGGCATGGGCTATTGTCACCACCCGAACGGCGGAAACAGTTGGATGCATTCAAACCACGAGAGTCAAGGTACTTCCTCTGGTAATGAACTTGTTGAGTGAAAGCGCCACGCAAGACACTCAGTAGACAGACCAATTTGAAGAGTTCCGCAACCACTCGCAACTCCACCTCGTCTTTCGAAAGGGTAGGGCTGCGTAGCATGGTCGTGAATGCCTCCATCCCCGCAGGTTCCCGATCGCTGACTTCCAAGGACCCCTGGAATGATGGGGGCACGCTTCCGCCCTCTGTGTCATTACCAGAATCTATTACTTCGAAGCCCGCGGATGACGATGAATCGGCCAAGGACTTCATACAGATCGCTCGGCACTTGGGACAGGTAGAGACACCGATTTCGTTGCTGCGAAGGAATATTGCTACAGCAACGAAGACCACAGTACTGTGGCGCAGATGTCGGCCATCTTGGTCAGAGGGGACCCAGTCAAGGTCATCGCCTACGCTGCACATGCTAAACAGACATTCTTCAGAATATCCCTGGTCAAGTTCATGGCAAAGCCTGACGCTCGTAGAAGACAATCGGGGGAGCACGGGCATATCAAAGCATGTAAGGAAGGTGCGCAGGAAGGACGAAAAATCGCTGTGCCATTGCCGGTCATGCAGAACCGTGTCCGTTTCGTCATCGCCACCGAGAGCGACCATCGCAGTTAGGCCTAGTACTTCCCAAGGGTCATGTGCGCCATCAAGGATGTTATCGGGAACTTCAATGTCCTCCAACCCCCACTCTGAGTCATCAGGTGGTACACAAGACAGCCGCGCAACGTGCTTCCGCAAGGGATGCGGGTATTTGTTGACACATGGGAGATATCGCATGTCCAAAGTATATTCCTTCATCAAAGGTTCTAGTTTTTCGTCCATCACTTGCTTTGCTGTTGGACTTAGACGATACAGGGCGTATTTTAGTCCGCAGAAATCGGAACAGTAGGAGAAAAAGGATTCCAGCAGCGAGACTTCCAAAATCACCGCGTGTTCAGTAGTTATGTCCTTGTACCGTGACCTGACCCTTGCAAGTAGTCAGTCATACCAAGGCAAAGATGTGATGTGGAGCTAGGCTTACAAGGGCCGACAGTGCTCGCAGGGTTTGTAACCTACCTCCAAGGTTGGAGGTTTGCCCTCCAACCAAACGATCATATCGAACCATTGTTGCATACCAAGAAAATCTGTTGGAGAGCATATGCATCCATCCTCCTTGGCCTTTGCGATGGCATTCTCCCAAGCACCGGTTTGGGAGGGAAACCCGTCCCAGTACTTGCGAATGATGTCCCCGAGAGTAGATGCTATGTGTGGAGAGCTGAGCGTGGGGGGAGTAAGGCCGTGAGAGGCGAACAGATCTGCCACCTCTTTGGAGCTGGCGATTAACCAGGTAATGGCAGAAACGCGCTGTTTGGGTGTGGCACTGCGAATCCTGTCATTTCTGGCAGTTGCGGGTGGATCTCGCTTCTGATCGACGCGACGACGCAGCGCTGACTCAGCGCTGACCCAATCAGCTGTCGTAAGCAACTCTGCATACAGATATGGTTCCTCGGATTGGAGCCACTCTTCATCGCCGTCGACCCAAAGCCACACGTCGTCGACCACATCCCCCTCAATCAGTCTGAGCCAAAGCGCTTTTAGCATCCGGCAACTGTCGTGCATCTCGACCATTAACCACTGAATGACGCGGAAGACAAACATCATCCTCCATTCTTGTGGCAGCGCCCCTCGTCGGACGCAACATTCGACACTACCCTGCTGGGACTTGCTGCTAAAAGCCACCGAAATCAGCGATGAATGGCTCGTTCCAACGAGTCAGAGCCTACTTACCTAGCGGTGACATCTTGGGACATCCGGACGATCGTGCTGGCGCTACCGTCAAGTCCCTCCAAACTGCCCCCAGAACGTGAACGCTGGAAGCTTGCATACGCGGCACCCTTGGACATTTGTGGAGTTTCCAAGTTGGACATGAGCGGCGACGGACCCCACCCACGCTGGGCAACTCGCCACTCACCATCATAAGAGTTGGTGGATATGCTCTGGCGCCCATTCTCTGAACACGACGGACGGTGACTGAAGGACATGAGAAACGAAGGGAATGTTCTGTTGCGATGGCTGGGTGAGGGGGAATCGGCACTGTCGTGCAAAAGAAATCGATGGCATGGCTTTTATATGAAAGGTACTAAGCACTTCTTCTTTGGCACGCATCATACATGAGACCGATATCGGAATGCGGTGCTCAAGGCGGCTTTTATATGAAAGGTAAGTACTTGTTTGGCACGCATCATACATGAGGCCGATGTCGGGATGCGGTTCGCAAGGCGGCTTGTATATGAAAGGTAAGCACTTCTTGTTTGGCACGCATCATACATGAGGCCGATATCGGAATGCGGTACTAAGGCGGTTTCATCATCTACACGCGAGGTTTTGCGCCATCTGATCGATCGATAGAGGTATGTAGATCTGTCACATGCGTTTGCAGTATATTCATAACCAACGAAACAAGACATCCTGGATACGCAGTCCACTCCACGTTCTGCGGAATCACAAAGTAACGCCCCACCCGACGCAGACAACAAGTACGACACAACTCAGGATCGCTACCTCTACTCTGACAACAAAACATAAGACAGACACCTGATCATACCGCCGAAGTAACGAATCCAAGTCTGTTCTTCGGTCGTTGGATTGATACTCTCGTCGGTGCCCGGACGTAGGGAGGTGTCAGCGTCATCGATTATAGTTCGTACCGTCTAAGTCTAATGCGCACCCGCTGATCCTTGATTGACTGGCTACCGGGTATCGCCTAGCCATCACCTAGCCCACTTTGACAAGAATTGAGAGTGGACAACATGGAAGTGTTCTCAGTGCGCAGATTTGGCTTCTGCCTACTATGTGTGATAAGGGCCGTAACATGCGAAAATGGTACATTTGGTAATACGCATACACACGATGTACATGGAGGTCAAAGGCGACAGTGACATGTTCTGTCAGTGGTCAGTGAGGTGGAGAAAGAGGTGATCGAAGTCTACAGTTACATCGAAGCAAGGGTTACTTCCGGACAATAACCGACTAGGATAAAGCTGGACCCATTCTCTCTTCACACTCCTCTCAAACGAGAGCAGGGGGCCGCACGGAACTGTCCAGGCTATTGCCCTAGAATTGGAGGTCTTCTTTTGTTCGTGATAGGAGAAGGTTTCGACTGTGATCACGTCCCAGATATGGTGAGGATATCCGCATATAGAAATTTTCTAAGACAAAAGGTTGCCAGGGTGTTCGGAATCCCCATGTCCACGCCACTCACACATCTCGTCACAGCATTCTTACCTGAATTCTCGCACTGATACCGACAGCAGACCATCCGAAGGTGAGGGGCCCAGGCGGGGAATACAGCGAGGATAGCAAAGGTGCGGTGACCGATGGTACAGATACGTTCCTGCCCGGATCGACCAACGGGAATACGTAGGGGAAAGAATGGGTCTTTACCTGGAACTCCTCGGGGGTCAACCCACTGTAAAGCAAGTGCATCCACTCTGCCATAGTGAGGAAGACGAGTGCAGATAGCACTACAAAAGTGTTGTCGGTGCGAATGTTTGGGCTGTATAGGCGACGTTGGGATAAAAGCAATACATATAGTAACGTTAGTATACCTCAGGTAGCTTCGATACTGTTAGGAAATGAGAGGACATCGGAACGGGAAGAGGGTATGACAAACAGCATCGATATCCCATTCCCAGTACTCGACCAACTGTGCTAGGACCTGAGCATAGTCGTCGAAATTGCATGTATGTTGGCAAAGGGGGTGAGCTGCGACATGAATTGGATAGCAAGACCCATAGCTGACTAGCAGTGGGGGGGAATGGCGGTTTCCATCGCCTTTTAAGCTGTGAGGGGTGTACGACGCGCTAGTGATGAAAGTGGTTGACAGAAACTTACCGGGTGCACGACACATGGTTCCGACGCGCTGTTGTTCCATCCCATTCGCTTACAAGCAAGGAGAAGGATAACTGCATACGGGAATTTCCTTGATAAGGGCCTCCGTAAGTTTGGAGTGTCCATCGCAATATACGGACCCATGGGGGTTAGGCATGGAGAGGAGGATGATGTTGAGAAATTACTGTATGAAGGAAGCTAGCACCACCATAGACAGGCATATTGTGCAGAGGACAGGCTATGGTACAAAGAGCAATAAGACAAGAGCACTTGCCTTTTACTTGAGTTAGCAAGTAGTTTTTGATAAAACTTTGTTGAGGCTCTTGTTCTTGAGAGAACAGTAGAACAAATGTAGAATTCGATGTAGATTAAGGGAGAATATCCCTGAGTTTATATACATGTTTCCATATGCATGAACCAGTAACATATATGGAAACTGTTACTATGTATAGTAAAGAATAGCAGAGAATGCTATGGAATATGATGCAATAAGTGATGTCATCTTGATGTCACTGTGGAGCTGATTGCTAAGGCAAGTCCTGTGATGTGACATGTGTATCAAAATGTGTAAGTCTAGATGTGTCTAGACATCAGACATATTATCATATTTCCAACACTCCCCCTTGCTCTAGAATGGGAGTGTAACAAGTCCCATTGACGAGTGATTCATTTCAAATTTTTGCCACATCAGTGATTTGGTAAGACCATTGGCTTTCTGTTTGTCAGTTTGAATGTATTCAATACTGAACAAACCCTCTTGTACATATTTGCATACAAAATGCCATTGGATGTCAATATGCTTTGAGTGTCCATCTGAGACTGGATTCTCAGCTATAAAGCAAGCACCCATATTGTCACAGTAAAGTATGGCCTTTTCTGTTTTGAGTTTAAGTTCATCAAATAGCATATTGAGCCATTTGATTTGACATGCAGCATTACAAAGAGCCATATACTTGGCTTCTGTGGAAGAGAGTGTGAGTGTCTTCTGTTTTTGAGAATGCCAAGAAATAAGGGATGTTCTGAGGAACATAGCATAACCAGTAGTAGAGTGACAAGTGTCTTTATTGGACACCCAGTCAGAATCAGCAAAGCCAAAAATCTGTGATTTGAGTCTGGAGTAATATAAAGCCATTTTAGGAGTAGATGCAATATAGCAAACTATATGCAAGGCTTTATTGTGGTGATCTTCTGTTGGATTCACCATGTATTGAGACATGTGAATTACCACAAAGGCAATATCAGGACAAGTTCCCAATGCCATATAAAGTAAGGACCCAATTATAGATTGATATTGTGAGTGGATTTGTGAAGTAGCTTGGTAATTGGCAGGTGCTTTTTCCAGTTGATATCCCGAAGGAAGTGGAGTGTGAACATTTCGAGCAGTCTCCATTCCGAAATGTTTAATGACCTTTTTGATATAAGGAATCTGATCAAGATAAAGTTCTTTCTTTGATTGATTCTGGTGAATTTGAATGCCAAGGTATTCCTTGACTTCACCAAGGTCTCAGGATTCCCATTTCTTCATGAATTCTTCTTTGTTGGCTTTTAGAAGACATTTGTCTGATCCTAAAAATAATCCATCATCTACATAGACAAGGAAAATGATGATGCCAGCTTTTGATGAATGGATGTAAATCCCAGCATCCACTTTTGAGCATATATAGCCCATTTGAAGTAAAGAAGTGTGAAGGGCTTTATTCCATGCAAGCACTGCTTGTTTAAGGCCATAGAGGGCCTGAAGCAGCCAATAGACCTTGTGCTCTTGACCCAGAACTTTGAAACCTTCTGGTTGCTCCATATAGATTTCTTCATCAAGATTGCCATATAAAAAGGCAGTTTTAACATCCAGGGCTTCCATTTCCCAATTTCTTTGGGCAGCAAATGCAAGTAAGATTCACACAGTTTTGAATCTAGCCACTGGGGAGAAGGTATCTTCAAAGTCAGTGCTGAATTCTTGTGTAAAGCCTTTAGCCGCAAGATGAGCTTTATAATGACCATCACTTTTTATAGTGAAAACCCATCAACACTTTACAGGTTTCTGATCTCTGGGAGGATCCACCAAAGTCCAAACTTGTCTTTCTTCAATAGATTTTAATT